CATGCAGTTTATCTCCATACAGCAGCCAAATAAACCTTCTAACACAAATCAGGTCACTCACTCCTCAACCCTGAACTTACTCTGTCCAGTAAACTTTTTTTTTTAATAATTTTTTTCTTTTATAGAGATGGGGTCTCCCTGTGTTGCTCAGGGATCCTTCGACCTCAGCCTCCCAAAGTGCTAGGATTACAGGCCTGAGCCACCACACCCAACCTGTACAGTGCACTTTTAATGAGATCCAAATCCTACAAATTTCCTTTCCTGCATTACTTCCTACTCTCTTAATCACCCCATTCACTGGCCTCTGCCATTTTCAGCAAGTTACTAACCCCAATTCCTAATATAATCCTATTTTGAAAAAACACTACATATATATGCATAAAAAAGGATAGCCCAAAATGTGAATATTCACCTATGGTTAGCAGGATTATAAACTTTAATTTTTTCTTATTGTGAAAAATTACTTCTAATTCATGTGTTAGTTATGTAATAAAATATATGATAAGTTGTGTATTAAACCCCATACCCCCACTGTGGTAATAAAATCTGTTAATAAATCATACATGTCACACAAAAAAATAACAACAAAAGAAAGAAAATTTGCCCACAGTAATACCTAGCATTTCCTAATAATAACACACACTGCAGGCACTTTCACTCATTATTTCATTTTACTCTCATAATAATTCTATGCAATCAGAACCATTATTCCCATGTTACTGTGTAAAATGAGGCTCAAAAATGGTAAACTGTTTGAAATTGCACAGTAAGTTGTGAAGCCCAGGTTTATCTAACTTGAATGCTCACATTCTAAATACTAATCTAGCTATTGCCACATTATATAGTAGTTACATACAATAGCGCAAAGTTGAAATAATCTAGGCATACAATAACAAAGGGAAAAGATTAGTTACAAAAATGTTTACTGAAAGCAGAATTATGTAAAAGTCGGGGGACATGTTACATGAAAGAGCAAACTATCACATTCTATACCTGAGTACAAGAAAATTTGATATTTCATATTTTAAAAAAGCCAAAATAAACCAATATGTTCAAGTTGGTTCCGTGTGGGTAATGGAACTCTGGGTGATTTTCATTGCTTTGTTTTGTTACCCTTTCATTGTTTTGCTTTGTTACCCTTTGTTTTGCACTAAAATTGCTTCAATACTAACATCAACAACAACAACAAAAAACTACATTCTCATAAAGTTGGCTTTGTAAGGAAGGAAATTTCAGAAAAGTGTTCCAAACACCTCAAAGTTCCGACTCCAGGTCTAAACTAGAGCCTAAATACTCTCTGAAAGGCGATCTACTCTTGACATCTGGCAACTCTACATGGACCAACAGCTTCCTCCGCAGGATGTTAGGATCGTCTTTATTTTGTTTGTAGCCTACGGAAGAACGAGCCTATTAAGAGCTTATTGAGATCGATAATAGCACAGTGTGGCTTGAAAGGTCCAAATTTAATGTTTCCATGGGAGCAACACGATTCAAAACCGTTTTCAAAGTATTTCGAGATGCGTGTCTTATCTGGAAGTAATACTTAAAACGAAGCGAGCAAAGAGGGTAAGAGAAAGTCACAAATGCAAGCTCGCGCCCGAAGCCTGGCCTCGGGGCCCGCACACTTCTACGTGGTGTGGCGGCGGCAGGGCTCCAAGCGCTGTGTTTTTATGGTCTCTGTCAGCAAGCAGAGCCGACCTCCGCTTTATCCGACACGACCAACGCGGGATCCGGGGTGCGGCGGCGACAGGGATCCGAGACGGATGCCTGGGCCAGGACTCTCGCGCCTACTTACTCCTCGGCCAGCCCCCCGGCTTCGGATCACTGCCTCACAGGAATGGCGGCAAGAGCTCCGCCGCCGACAGGGGGGCTGAGGAGAGCGAGCCTGCGGCTCCGGGACCGAGGATGAGACGCCCTGGCCGGGAAGCAGGGAGCGACAGCACCAACAATAGAGGCTGGCGGCCCTGAGCTTAAGCAGAAGGCTTCGGGGCGGGGACAGGAGGGACCAAGGCCCACCCCGGGCCTCAGATCCTCCCACGCCTACCCCCTACACCCCCAACTCCACGATATCGCAAGTACTCATGCGCCTCCGCAGCCGCTGCTGGGAAGAGCGCACCGCCCAGGGCACCGCCCCCTCCAAGGATTTCCGGGGAGGCGGGTTCCGCCGGGGAGTTGCGGCTTTTGCTACTCGGTTCAAAGGGCGCCTGTCCCGGGCCGCTTTCCGTTGCAAAGGTTCCTGAATTCGGGGAGGAAGAGCAGCAAGATCGAAATACTGGGCATAAGTTTGTTGCTTCATAAACGTTTGCTGAATGAATAAATTGATAGGCGGATGTTTGCTGGGTCCCAGCCTTTCAAAACTACAGCAGCAACATAGTTTTGGGTGTGTCCTTCACAAATCTATTTCATTCCCCAGGTAGTACCGTGCAAGTGAATTTGGTGAGAATTTTTTAAAGGAAATTTTTGCCAGCATCGGCTTTTTGAAACTTTTTTTTTTTTTTACCATGCTCTAAAAAACAAACAAAAACAAAAAAACTTGGTTTGTTTGAATATCAACGTTAATCACAATCTGGCTTCGGCGCCTATTATTCGAGCCCCATCTATCCTTCCCCACACTTAGGGTGCTTCATCTCCACATAAAGCATAACTGCAAAAATACGTAGGGCAGAAGGGAACCTGGGAGATATTACTATGGTTGTAGAAATTGAGACCAGCCTGAGCTCTCGACAACAAGAAAAAGAGACACAGCGAGGCATTTATTTATAATAGGCTTCTACGAACAAGGAAAAGTAAGGCATTTTTGGATTCGAACGAGTGCTCTGTTACCTCTACTCAACAAACATTTGAATGCCAAGGAGCTGTGAGGGTGGATGGTCAATAAGCAGATGCTGAGCAAAGTTATATTTTTGTAGGAAGCAACCTGATAAGAAAAAAGCAGATTTTCGAGTCAGATTTTACTTCGAAAAGAAGCTTGGTATTTGGGAATGCAATCATCATCAGCAATTTACCATACTATCTCTTAGTGTCAGTTTGTTCATGTGTAAAACGTGTTAATAGTACCTGATCCAATCTTTTGCCTTCAAGTATATCACTCTATTTCCAAGATGAGATCTCTCCCAGTTCTACTACATACACTATTAATTTTAACATTATTTTATTTATTTAAAAATAGTTACTAAGTTGATATTTAACAACACATTTGAGCTATTCTTGGCACAATGACACATAGCCTTTGCCTTCATGTTTAGGAGAGGCAGCAGAGGATATAATAATTAATTGTAAAACAAGGCTAAATTTGAAATATGTTTGAACAAATATTTACAGATGAGAACCTTGAGTTAGGAAAAATTGGAACTCAGATCCCAAATTACACGCCATTAGTGCATAAATATATGGTTGAAAATAAAATCCATTCTTGACATGTTTCTGAAAACTTTTTTCATAGCATAACATAAACAAAACTTATGTCTGAATCTGATAAGAAGAAGAGAAATTCTTCACAAAGAAGACAGTATCTTTAAGAACCGTGTAAAGAAATGCTACTACAGTGGGTGGGTTGCGGGTATACACAAAGAGCAGTAATTATCTAAGGATGAATTTACTCTTTCACGTTATTAATAGAGTCCATGAAAACTAACATTTTATTTTTATTTTTCTTGGAGATAGAGTCGCACTCCAGGCTGGAGTGCCGAGGCGCGATCTCAGCTTACTGCAACCTCCGCTTCCTGGATTCAAGTGATTCTTCTGCCTCAGTCTTCTGAGTAGCTGGGACTACAGGTGCCACCACGCCGGCTAATAGAGACGGGGTTTCGCTATGTTGGCCAGGCTGGACTCGAATCTTGAGCTCCGCAATCCGCCCGCCTCCGTCACCTAAAGTGCTAGGATTGCAGGCGTGAGCCACTGCGCCTCGCCTTACGATTTCAAAACGTTTGGAATTCAGCCAACCAGAGACATTTTGTAATTACGAACATTTGAAACCCTTCTCCCCTGAAAATCAAGAGATATATATGGAGCGTGGATTCCGAACCTAGTTTTCTAGGACAAACGCAAACTCATATGATTACAAGAATGAAAGTGATCGTCACGCTGCTTTTAGGTTCCAAAGTATGGGGAATTTCTTTTTTTCTTAGACGGAGTCACTCTCACTCTGTCGCCCAGGCTGGAGTGCAGTGGCGCGATCTCAGTGCAACCTCCGCCAACCGGGTTCAAACGATTCTCCTGCCTTAGCCTCCTGAGTAGCTGGGGTTACAGGCTCGCGCCACCACGCCCAGATAATTTTTTTTTTTGCATTTTTAATTTTTTATATTTTTAATAGAGATGGGGTTTCACCATGTTGGCCAGGCTAGTCTCGAACTGTTGACCTCAGGTGATACGCCCGCCTCAGCCTCCCAAGGTGCTGGGATTACAGGCGTGAGCCACGGCGCCCAGCCGAGAAATATATTTTATTAAAGAGTAATTAAATAACCTAATTAACCTAATTGATACTCTCCAAGAGCCAGTAAATGTTTTCCCTAAATTCCATTTAATCCCTTTAGAGTCATTACAGAAAAAAAACAAAATCACATAAAGCAACTTGGACTCCCCAAAATTATATGTTCCAGATACGAAAACAACGAACTGAAGGACTCCTGAATCATGTCACCCTTGAACTATGTAAAGTTGAAAAGATGTTCAATGTCAAATATAGTAACAGTTCCACATTTAAAGACCTAATTTACAGTATTTTTAAGTGCCTTTCTACCTACTTTCTCGGGAAGTTAATGCTAATTCAGTTGAGCTATCTAGAGAGGTGGTTAAGGCAAAAATCAATTTGTCTGACCGAGTTTAACAGAATTTTCACTCAACTTCTAGTCCCCAGAGCCAATCACTTCTCCGAACCGCACACCCGAAGCCGACATCCCTTTCTCTTTGCTCCGCATGTCAGCGGGCTTCCATAACTAAACGTCCATTTCTAGCCTTGGCCAAAGAGCTCAACTTGGACACAAGCCGTCAATCCTTAGCAGCACCGCCCACCATGTTCCCGGAAGCTGCGACATGACGCCCTCCGCCCCTCCAGGACGTAGGGTTTTATATCCGGATTCTTAGCGCGGACTCAGAACTCCACTCTTCCCAACGCCGTCAGCACATGCGCGGCAGCTCTTTTCCTTCTTCCTCCACTTACACTACCTTCCACCGTCCGGGAGCCGCCGCCGCCACCGCCGCCGAGGAGTCAGGAAGTTCAAGATGGCCGCCGCGGAGACCCAGTCGCTGCGGGAGCAACCAGAGTAAGTAATCTCTGTGAGTGGGCCAGAGGCTGGAGCCCGGGGACTGCCGAGTGGGAGACGACTGAGAGCTGCAACTGGCGGGCGGGAAAGTTCGGGCCTAACGGCGAGAGTCAAACTTTGCCTTTTCCGGCGCGATTCGTTGTGGGGTGGGAGGCATGGAGAGCAGGCGGCCTTCGAGCTTCATTTTCCCGGAGGCCGCCGCTGTTGGAGCGAAGGCGGCCGCGGCCTGCCGCGCGTCGTTGCCCCGGGAGGCATAGGCGCGAGCGGCCTCTACAGGTCCGGTGCGCGTGGCGGCTGCCGCGGCAGTGAGGTCGCGCCTTACTATTCCTCCCTTGGGGACCCAGCAGAGCTCCCTGGCCGCAGCACTTAGCGGCATCAGTGTTGGGGCACGAGGGTCAGTGGCGGCAGGCGGGGCAAGCGCGAAGTCTTCTTTCTCATGCGGTACCCCTAGTCGTCCTTATACTGGTCTTACTTTAGGACCTGAAAGCAGAGAGAGGAGGGGCTAGGGTCACTCTGATCATCCTGAAGCTAGTCTGTGGCCAGCGGGATACTCGATCTCATCACCTTGTATTCTTTAGTCCAGCAGTCACCGGGTATTGTTTTGGTGTTTTTTTGTTTTGTTTTGTTTTTGACTGTCTACGGGCAGCTTTTTTACCAACTTGCAAACTTGAGGCAAAGTAAGAGTCTTTGGTTTTGAGGCTTGGCTTTTTTTTTTTTTTTTTTGCCTGGGTTTATAACCCTTCTTTAGAAGGACGAGTGGAAGGAGTAGTGGGAATTGCTAGCTACTGCCAAACCACTTTATGTCTATAATTAAACTAATATAAGAATCCGTGCGGCCAAATGAAAAAAAAAAAATACTTGTGTATGCTGCAAAGGCCAACAACCCTTGCTTAACTAAAAGCAGTATTTTGCTTTAAGTGTCAGTAGTAGGAAAACTCAAGAACCTTAAAAGAGAATGGATTTTACGGCTATATTTGCATAGCCACTGTTTTTTTTGCATCTGCACTGTCTGATCTGTTTCCAGCCATCTTAGAAAGGGGTATAGTCTCCCAGCAACTTGTAACCGAGTGATAGGAGAAATCTTTGCCACCTGACATTTCATTGCTGTGCATGCATCCAGTTTTGGGCTCCTCAGTCATCTGCTTTATTCAGCTAGGCAGAGAAATTGAATTTTTTATTAAGGCCTTTTGAAAACTGCTGTATTATTTTTACGATTTGACTTAGCAGAGATTTTAAAGTTTTAAACTAGCTTTAGCCTCTTACTGTTTCTCACTGTTTCATTGTGTGGCACAGCTACAGTGTTTAAGGCAACACAGTGCAGATCTCATGCTATGCAGCTACATTTTCTACTAATCTGAAAAGCTTTATAGTATTATGTCCATTTATTTGATTTTTAGGGATGTTTCACATTCATTTTGAGGAGTGTTTCACATTCATTTTGAGAATATTTTATTCACATACTGTATTCAAATATTAGAATTAATAATTTAAAAAAATACATATTTAGGCCTCTCCTGTATAAATAACACTGACATAATCTTTAGTTTCGCTTCCCTTCCCCACACAATGCTTGGCGTAAATGGATTATTTGGTCTGTATATGTCTTACTTTCAGTAGTTTGAAAGTATTTAACAAAGAAGGTAACAGTTTGATACCAAAGCAAGCACTATGCCTGGTGCTTATAGTGAGTCCCTGAATATAGTGTTTACAACAGTTCTTTAGAGGACATTGAGTAGTTTACAGTTACATGGAGTCTATTCAAAATAGAAACATTTAGAAAGAATAAATGTAAAAAGTAGCCTTTAAGCTCCCCGAAGGCTTTAGCTCTTTTAACAACCCTGTTGAGGTGGATGCTTTTATTTTCCTTATTTTAGAGAGTATAAAACTGAAGCACAGAGAAATTAAGTAACTTGCTCAAGGTCACGCTAAGTGGCACACCTGTTGGAACTCTGGCAGTCTGGTTCTAAAGCCCTGCTGCTAACTGTTGTAATGTCTGGCCTCCCGCTATACAATGCTACTTCTTTTTAAATTGCTTTTCAAGTTTGAATTGATTTTTATTTTTTTCCACTGTCCCAGAAAGATCCATTTTTTAATGTGACATGTCTAATTTATTGAAACCTAATTTCTCAAACCTGCTTTGGCAAAGGGGGCACCAGAGGGAAGATTTAAGACTAGTTGGTCTTTTGAACCCATTCTGACTTCTTATATCTACATTAATTCTTTTTTTTCATTGTATTTATTTTTTAAACACAAGCTCTTGTCACCCAGGTCATCAGATGGCACTATCATGGCTCATTATAACCTTGACCTCAAGTGATCCTCCTGCCCCAGCCTCCAGAGTGACTGGTACCACAGGCATGCTCCACCGTGCCCAACTAATTTTTAAATATTTTCGTAGAAGCAGAGTCTTCCCATGTTGCTCAGGTTGTTCTGAACTACTGGGCTCAAGTGATCCTCTTGCCTCAGCTCTCCAAAGTGCTGCAGGTACTAGGGAGTCAAGGTGGGAGGATCGTTTGAGCCTAGGATTTCACATCAGCCCAAGAAACATAGCAAGACCCAGTTTCTTAAAAAAAATACATACATTTTTAACTTGTCAGAGAAATAGGTATAAACTATTACTTTTCTGGTAAAGTAGCAGTGGTGTCCACTTTACTCACCACTAAAAAAATTTTTTTAAGAATTGTCTAGCTTAAAAGCGCTTTTATTCATACACAAATTTAAATTAGTCAGTTCTCTGTCTCTGCATATTTTGAATGCCTACCAAATAAATTCACCAAGACTATTCTTTGGAAAAAAAATGTAAAAGAAGTTACAATAACACTAGTGGTTGGTGATTGGTGACTTATTTTATTTTATTTGAGACAGAGTGTCATCCAGGCTGGAATGCAGTGGCAAAGGCTCACTGCAACCTCTGCCTCCTGGGTTCAAGCGATTCTCCTGTCTCTGTCTCCCAAGTAGCAGAGATTATAGGCATACACCACCACACCCTGCGAATTTTTGTATTTTTAGTAGATGGGATTTCGCCTTGTTGGTCAGCCTGGTCTTGAACTCCTAACCTCAGGTGATCTGCCTGTCTCAGCCTCCCAAAGTGCCTGGATTACAAGAGTGAGCCACTGGGCCTGACTGTAACTATATTATTTTAAAGTCATTCCATGATTATTTTCATTCATTGTGCTGGATGCTTCAAGACTTGGGTTTTTTGTTTTTTTTTTTAAAGTATAGAAACTAAACAAAGTATATAAACAGATGCTATTAAGCACCCTCATGTTGTTTGCACTTCTCATTTACCTTTGCTTACAAATGCTGTGATCTGAAAGATGTTATTCAGTACTCAGTAGGTTCTCAATAAATATTTGTTTTGTGATAAACCTGTTGCAGACCAGGTTGGTATACGCATCTACTTGGCTAAATGTAGGATGTTAAGTTGTAAAATGTAAATGTTAAAGCATAAATTTATATAAATGAATGTATTTAATCTATATTTATTGTCAGTATAAACTGTCCAGGATAACCATTAGGTGTCTTAACAAGAAACCATTGGATGTAATACATTATACTCACTGTTTCAAGTTTTCCAGGTTTACCTGGTCAGACTTTAGTTATTACTTTCTATGATATTTGCATTGAGAGATCAACTGAAACTGAAAGATTCATTGTATGCCTAGCCCCTGTATAAGAAAACACTATAATTAAGGTTAACTTAATTATCTCGAGCTGGTAACATTTTTAGCAGGAACCTACTCAATATTTCTAGGGATAACTGATTAATTTACAGTGGGAACTAGTCACTCATGGGAATGACTTTCCTTACAGTGATAATGGTCATCATGAGGTATTTCTGATTCCCTGAAGCTCTAGGAGGAGCTTGATTTTCTTTTGATAGAAGTTGATTCCTCTATGGGTAAACTCTTAATTTTAAATGAAACTCCTAAGACTCTGTAAGTTGTTAGCATTAGAAAAGATAGGTTCAGAAAACTGATTATCCTTTGCAGGGGTCGATGAAATATAAATCATTTTGAATATCACACCTGCAAAAATAGGTCTGTGCCTACCATGTATGTGTACTGTGAGGCGCTGGAGATAAAAGCGAGCAAAAACAAAATAGTAACTTTCAAGTGCTGAGAGTCTATGATAGATAGTATAAACCAGCTCTATATTATTTGTATATGTTTTTTCCTGTTCTTGTTGTTGTTGAGATGGAGTCTTGCTCTGTCACCCAGGCTGGAGTGCAATAGGGCGATCTTGGCTAACTGTATCTCTGCCTCCTGGGTTCAAGTGCTCCTGCCTCAGCCTCTGGAATAGCTGGGATTACAGGCATCTGCCACTATGCCTGGCTGATTTTTTGTATTTTTGTAGAGATGAGGTTTCACCATGTTGGCCAGGCTGGTCTTGAACTCCTGACTTCAAGTGATCACCTGGCTTGGCCTCCCAAAGTGCTGGGATTACAGGTGTGAGACACCAATCCCAGCCTTATATTGTTCTGTATATATCATTGACACAAACAATACTTATTGAGCACCTGCTATAGATTAAGCCCTTAGAGATAGAGCAGTGAACTAAAATGAAAATTCTGCTCATATAGTGCTTACATTATGATAGGGAGAGACAAACAATAATTATATTAGTGGTAACAATTGCTTTGTAGAAAAATGTTAAGGACAGAAGGAGAACATGTGTGCAGTGATGCAGTGATGTGGGTTTGCATTTAAAAATGGTTTGATCAGGAAAACTTGTTTGAGAAAGTGATAATTAAGCAGAGACCTAAGGTAGTCAAAGGTAGCCAGGAATGCATGTATTGGGGGAAAGCACTCCTGGTAGGAGAAACAGATACCACATACCTGAGATGTGTGTTTGCCTGTTCAATGAACGTGGTGTGGCTGGAACAGGGTGATGGTGGAAGAAGAGTATTAGGTTCAGAGTGTTGGGGATGTTGGGCCTGTAGGTATAGGACCTTTTGCTCTGAATAAGGTAGAAAGCAATAAAGAGTAGTGACATAATCTGACTTTTTAAAGCATCTTAAGCAAATGGAAGATCTTTTGAATGACTTGGACTGCCAGCCTTCTCGCTGGCTTGTTGTATGTGTGACCTTAGGCAAGTCCCTTAAACTTCCTTGAACCTCAAAGTCTCAACTCAAATGGAGAGACTTGAATTCTTAGTGTGACAGCCTTTTATACTATGAACTCATTTAATTATCATTAAGTCTATGATTTGTCTGTACTATTTCCCCATTTTTTACAGTTGAGGAAACTGAGGAACAGAAGAAAAACTTGCGTAAGATTACAATAGCTTTGTCATGTTGGAGGCAGCATTTAAACCAGGTAGTTTGACTCCAGAATCTATGCTCTTTGATGGTATTCCTTAAAATAACATTCTTATTAGCAGCCCTCTCGGCTCCACTGGGTTTTTGTGAATAAACATAACTATCCAGCATCTATACAATAATAATAGTTTATTTATGGGGGGAATTGGTCTGTGGTAGGCACTGTCATAAGCATTTAACATGTAGTCATCTATGTAAACTTCACAATACCTCTTCAGGTAGGTACTATTTTCTCCATTTTGTGGATGAGATGCCTGAGGATCACGTGCCAAGGCTACACAACTAGTAAGCAGTGGAACCAGGATTTGAACCCAGGCAGTTTGGCTCCAGAGACTGCTTAACCACTCTGCTATCCTTTGTCTTGAGGACAGTCTTGAATTAAAACTCAAAACTTCCGGGAATTTTGAATTTGAACTTAGTGACTAGAATTTTGTATTTTGGGCACTTAGATTTTATATGCCTGAAGATCATTCTCAATCTTTAAAGACTCTCCTAGCTTCATAACTTCAGTAAACTTAATTTTTTCTTAGACATTTTCCCCTGTAAGTCAAGGTTCAGGAAAAAAAGACCTTCTGGATTATGAGATGGGAGATTTCTGGGGAAAGGGGATGAGATTATAGCCTATATAAAGAACAAAGTTGAAATGGGACTACAGTTTTGCACTGCCACACCTAGCTAATTTTTTTTATTTTTAATAGAGATGAGGTCTCACTGTGTTGCCCAGGCTTGTCTCAATTTGAACTCCTGGGTTCAAGCAATCCTATCACCTTGGCCTTTTATAGTGCTGGGATTATAGGTGTGAGCCATTGTACCGGGACTAACCTTTATTTTTTAATCCTTGTCCCTTCTCAGTAAACATTTCTTCTCTCCTCCTAAAGTCCCTGCTTAACATTCTTTCTGTGATCTACAAAACACCATCCCTGACCATTCTCAAAATGAGTTTAGGTGATCCTTCAGCGTTCCATAATGCCCCATTTGTCTTCATCACTGCACTTCTCCAGTATTTTGTGGTTATGTCATGTGACTTTGTTTTCCACTGGACTTTAATATCTTTGAGGGAGGCAAATACTGGTTTTGTACATCTGTTTTCTTTTTTCTTTTTCTTTTTTTTTTTTTGAGATAGAGTCTCACTCTGTCACCAAGACTGGAGTGCAACGGCACGATCTTGGCTCTGCGACCTCAGCCTTTGGAGTAGCTGGTATTACAGGTGCCCGCCGCTATACCTGGCTAATTTTTGTATTTTTAGTAGAGACGGTTTCACCATGTTAGTCAGGCTGGTCTCGAACTCCTGACCTCAGGTGATCCACGCGTCTCAGCCTCACAAAGTGCTGGGATTACAGGCGTGAGTGACTGCTCCTGGCTTGTACATCTGTTTTCCTGCCACTTGGCTTGATGCTCACCTGTGGTTGGTGAGTTTTTTTTTTTTTAAAGAGGTTGTTAGTAGACTGATGGATTCTTAGTTTGCAAGGATAAACTTACTAAAAAAGTATAGGGGTATATAATATGAAGATCTGACAAAATAATCCATAGCTTCTTCCAAAGACAGTATGATGGCTTGAATCTAGATAATTTAGGGCCACTTTTGGTCTCATATTCTAGGATGTGATGGTTTATTATGGAGGGACTTTTAAAGGGAAACTTCAATAATGCTTTTGTACAAGTATTTAACCTGGGATTATTAAACACCAAGGACTTGATAAAATAATTTAGAATCATAAACTCTTTAACTCAGCATAACCCAAGCACTTAAGCACAGAATCACCCCACTTTAATTAATTATTTTTTGCATGGCATAAATGTATTTGCATGAATGTATTTTGGGAAACTGACTCCTCATTTGAAATTCAGAGAGATTAAATCACTTGCTGAATGAATATTGGGTCAAACTGTATTCAATTACTGATATTAAACTTGTTGACTTACAAAAGGTCCTTCCGTGTGGCTCAACCTAATGTCATATGACTGCTTAGTGGCAACTACAAGCTTGGAGTCCTAACTTCTGGTTTAGTTCTCTTTGAAGATTTAACTTTGGGGGATGTGTTTATACTGTCACCATTGTCAGTATCAGCTACCAATGCACGTAGATTGCTTATTTTGCATATAGCTCAGTATTGCCTCTACAATGTTTTCCTTATTTTTAAGGATATAAGATGAAATCTGCTCAAAACAAGTGACCTGCCAGGTTTATTGTAAAGCCACCAAGTTTTATAAATTTCAAGTGGAGAAGGAGATGAGTCTTCCAGTGTGTATGTTAATAGTTAATAGGTCTTATTAAAAAAGAAAATGGGCCCCTTTGGTTGTTAATGTGTGAGAAAAGTTGTTTAAAAATTAAGTTACTGAGTGGCTGTTTTAACTAAATCAATAATAATGAGGTTTTGCTGTGCCTGGTTTGTTTTTCCCTTTTTCTCTAACCTGTAATTTGCAGTCTCAATCCATTAGGTATTTGATGAGTTCAACCATTAGAAACACTTTAAAGTTGTAACACCACAATTCTGTTCTTGCCGTATACTTTCTTTGAAATAAAATATCTGAAGCTGTTACGAAAAAATTTTAGTGACTAATTTCATGTATTACATTGAGATGTATTTTCTCATTACTGTTATTTTGTTTTGACTCTTTGAATACTTGATAAATGATATCATTTTAAAATGTTTTTTTTGTACATTTATAGGATGGAAGATGCTAATTCTGAAAAGAGTATAAATGAAGAAAATGGAGAAATATCAGAAGACCAGTCTCAAAATAAGCACAGTCGTCACAAAAAAAAGAAGCATAAACACAGAAGTAAACATAAGAAACATAAACATTCCTCAGAAGAAGACAAGGATAAAAAACATAAACATAAGCATAAACATAAGAAACACAAAAGAAAAGAGGTTATTGATGCTTCTGATAAAGAGGGTATGTCTCCAGCAAAAAGAACTAAACTTGATGATTTAGCTTTGCTAGAAGACTTGGAAAAACAGAGAGCCTTGATTAAGGCTGAACTTGATAATGAGTTAATGGAAGGAAAGGTCCAATCTGGTATGGGGCTCATTTTACAAGGTTATGAATCTGGCTCTGAAGAGGAGGGGGAGATTCATGAAAAGGCAAGAAATGGAAATAGGTCTAGTACTAGATCTTCAGGTGCAAAGGGGAAACTTGAACTTATGGACAACAAAAATGCTACAAAAAAACGAAGTAAAAGCAGATCCAAAGAACGGACTAGACATAGGTCTGATAAAAAGAAAAGCAAGGGGGGTATTGAAATTGTTAAAGAGAAAACAACTAGGAGCAAGTCAAAGGAGAGGAAAAAATCTAAAAGCCCATCCAAAAGAAGTAAGTCTCAAGATCAAGCAAGAAAATCAAAATCCCCTACCCTTAGGCGGCGATCTCAAGAGAAAGTTGGTAAGGCCAGGTCTCCTACTGATGATAAGGTTAAAATTGAAGATAAAAGTAAATCAAAAGATAGGAAAAAATCCCCCATTATAAATGAAAGTAGAAGTCGAGATCGGGGTAAAAGATCCAGATCCCCAGTTGATTTAAGAGGTAAATCCAAAGACAGAAGGTCACGGTCCAAAGAGAGAAAATCAAAACGGTCTGAAACTGACAAAGAAAAGAAACCAATTAAATCTCCCTCTAAAGATGCTTCATCTGGGAAAGAAAATAGGTCACCCAGTAGAAGACCTGGTCGTAGTCCTAAAAGAAGAAGTTTGTCTCCGAAACCACGTGATAAATCAAGAAGAAGTAGGTCTCCACTTTTAAATGATAGAAGATCTAAGCAGAGCAAATCTCCCTCTCGAACACTGTCTCCTGGTAGAAGAGCCAAAAGCCGATCATTAGAAAGAAAACGAAGAGAACCAGAGAGGAGACGACTTTCTTCTCCAAGGTAACTAAAAATGTTAAAGCGTTTTACAAATTCCCGAGATTTTAAAGGGAAAACTTGTGGACAATTAAAAATGAAGTAGTAAGTAAAAATAAATGTATTAGTAGTGAGTTTCATAATTTTAAGTAATCCAGTCCATTAACCATGTTAATATTTGCACTTTTGTGAATGAGCATTTCAATTATAGGTGTTTAACAAATACTGAGCTTGATGATGAAATTGGGTTTTTTTCACATTATTGATTTAATACCTAGTTTGCTAAGGCACTCCTTTTGATCCATGTAATTTGGCTGATAAATCTTCATTGGGGGTGTGCAGAGAGAGGATTACTGCTCCATTGAACAGTGTAGGCTGAAATTCCTAACTTTGAAAAGGGGGAATGGTAATCACTTTAACATTTGTGTTCTGTTCATTCTCTTGTGTTTGCATGAGTTTTATATTTTAACGACATAAATAGAAACAAATACCAAATTTTTTTGGTCCCCGAAGTATAATTAAAATGGAAAATTTTGTATTAATACTATTTAAGTACTATGAAATTGTCAGCCAAGTTTTGCTTATTAAAAGAAATTGGCTTATATTGTATAAGGATGTTATTAATTTTTAACCATTTACTGAGTTCATATTAATATTTTCTGTGAATTGATATAAATATAAACTGACCTTGAAAATGAAGTCATCATATTTTCAGAGAAATTTCAAATTTTATTTCCAAGTGCTATGTCTTAAGAGATTCTCGGTTCTTTCTTCTGTGTGGCACTGTAATGAAATAGCCCCTTTTTCTTTTGGCTTCCTGGATTGAGGCAGTTATTAGTTTTACTGATTCTATTATCTCAAGTGCTTCTTAATTATCCTGGTGGTCTTTCAGTTTGCTTTCAGTTTGAAGAGCTAATTTTGAGGATTTTGTTAAGGACTAGAGCTGAGTGTTTGAAACACATTTTTTTTTTAATTACAGAAGTGCTCCATATTTATTAAAGAGAAATCCAAATAAGCCTGTAAATTCCTTTTTCATTTCTCCACTACCACTCCTTAGAAGTTTATGTTTCCTTAGCTCTCTTTCTTTGCACAGACGGTAATATGGATAGAAGAGTTGTTGTTGTTGTTTTACAAAACTGGAGTCATATATTCACATGTGACTTGCTTTTTTCAGGAAACATTTCTGCGACAAAACATATATATAGATTCTTTTTCATTCTTCCTTACAGCAACTGGTATTTCAGTGTAGATGTATTACAGTATCATTGTCCTGTTGAAACTGATGAAAAATTTAGATTGATTCAATTTTTTAACTATTATTTGCAAAGATGTCCATTGGTTATGCATGAGGTTTCTTTATAGAATAGATTTGTAGAAGTGGACTTGCTAAGTCTCAGGGTATGTACATTTACATTTTAAAAAGTTATTGCCAAATTTCCATCCGGGAAAGTTAGATCAATTTCTATTTCTATGACAATGTAAACTGCCCTTTTTCCTAAACCTTTATGAGCAGGATACCATATAGTAGTATTTTGTTACTCTTAAACATAAAACCCCAAAGTTGTTTTAATTTAAATTTCTTAGATCGCTAGTGATGATGAACAGTTTTATTTTTGTGGCATTTTAGCAGACAACACTCTGTTCCTTCTATATTAGTTTACTTTATCCCATTCATATATATATTTTTTTGATATGGAGTCTCCCTCTGTCACCCAGGCTGGAGTGCAATGGCGTGATCTTGACTCACTGCAACCTCTGCCTCCTGGCTTCAAGCGATTCTCCTGCCTCAGCCTCCCTGAAGAGCTGAGACTACAGGCATGCGCCACCACACCCAGCTAATTTTTTTGTACTTTTAGTAGACACAGGGTTTCACCATGTTGGCCAGACTGATCTCGACCTCTTGACTTGAGGTGATTCGCCCACCTCAGCCTCCTGAACTGCTGGGATTATAGGCGTGAGCCAATGTACCTGCCCCATTTATATTTTTAACTACTCTTTGAGACTGTGTGTGTGTACAAGCAGATTAAATAGTTTCCTCAGATGGCCCTATCAAGGAGTAAGCACCGCAGATCTGAATCAAAGTCTACCTTGCTCATTTTGGCTGGATCAGAGAAAGATTCTTGGGTTCTGTATACTGTACTGAAACATGCAAGGCAGGTTGTGTTTTTAGGTTTTTATTAAATGAGGAAAGCCAGGTGCAGTGGCTCATGCCTGTATCCCAGCACTTTGGGAAGCTGAGGCGGGTGGATCACCTGAGGTCAGGAGTTCAAGACAGGCCTCACCAACATGGAGAAACCCCATCTCCACTAAAAATACAAAATTAGCTGGGCATGGTGTCATATTCCTTTAACCCCAGCTACTTGGGAGGTTGAGGCAGGAGAATCGCTTTGAACTCGGGAGAGGGGGTTTGTAGTGAGCCAAGATCGTGCCACTGCACTTCAGCCTGGGCAACAAGAGCAAAACTCCATTGCAAATAATAATAATAATAATAAATGAGGAAAATACTGTAATGTTATTATTTGATTATGGAGACAAATCTATTTATAATCTGACCAGATTGAATAGTTCTGTCCAAAACTGGACCAATATTAAGAAATGTTCGAAACCTGTTTTAAAAAATTAAGTTGTAGAAAGGCTTGTTGTAATACAAATAGCACATTAAACCAGAGTAAAAATCACTGAAACGTACTTGTGAGGTAAGTGTTGAAAAGTCGGGTTTTTGTGGGGGTTTTCTGGGGTGTGGGCAGGGTCACACCTTGTCATCCAGGCTGCAGTGCAGTGGCATGATCTCTGCTCACTGCAACCTCTGCCTCCCAGGCTCACACAATCCTCCCACTTTAGCCTCCCTACTAGCTGGGACTGTAGGCACATGCCACCACTCTTGTAATTTTTATATTTTTTGTACAGATAGGGTTTCACTATGTTACCCATAGTGGTCTTAAACTCCTGAGCTTAAGTGATCCGTCTGCCTCAGCTTCCCAAAGTTCTGGGATTACAAGTGTGAGTCACCACACCTAGCTATTGTTTTTGGTTTTTTTGAGTCAAGGTCTCACTCTGTCACACAGGCTGCAAAGGCACAAACACAGCTCACTGAAGCCTCGATCTGGTGGGCTCAGGCAGTCCTCCCTCAGCCTCTGAAAGTGCTGGGATTGCAAGTGTGAACCACTGTGCCTGGCCTATTATACTTGACATTAAAAATAAGACTTTTGGTCAAGCGTGGTGGCTCATACCTGTAACCTCAGCACTTTGGAAGGCCAAGGAAGAATCAGTTGAGGCCAGGAGTTCGAGACCAGCCTGGGCAACATAGTGAGACCCCCATTTCTACAAAACAAAAAATTAGTCTGATGGTTCCAGCTATTCACAGGGGCTGAAGTTAAAGGATTCCCTTAGCCTGGGAGGTCAAGACTGCAGTGAGCCATGATCACACCACTGCTTTCCAGCCTAGGTGACAGAGTAAGATCCTGTATCAAAAAAAAAAAAAAGCCTTAATTGGAGAGATGTCAAGATGTAGAAAGAAAAAGTCATCAATGGAAATGGAATTTTTGAGTAAATGGAATATTATTCTTACTTGGGCAGGTTTTATTTAATTGTTTATTTCAAATTAGAATCTGTGACTTCATCAGTATGAATAACCTTTAGTAATTCTTCAAATTGTGGGACCAGAGGAAATAAGACCTTTCATTGTTTGTCTACAATAACACCAAAATGTCATTGTGGTCATCTGAATAAGGTTTGTTACAAAACACATTGGTCAGAGTTCACTCTCTTTGGGTTAGTGTGCCTTTTCTTACAGATGTTCCCGGCATATAGAAAAACAAATCTTTCACTTCCATTTATTTTTCGGTTAACTTGTATTTGATCCCCTTAAGAACACGACCTCGAGATGATATCCTCAGTAGACGTGAAAGATCAAAAGATGCCAGCCCCATCAATAGGTGGTCTCCAACTCGAAGAAGAAGTAGATCTCCCATTAGAAGGAGGTCTCGTTCCCCACTCAGACGTAGCAGGTCTCCAAGAAGAAGAAGCAGGTCTCCTCGCAGAAGGTAAAGACACATCAGCCTTTTGATTCATTAAACTCTCAATGTTTTTGTAGCACCAATGAGCTTAGGTGGTAGGTTTTCTTTTAGACCATGTTTCTCTGAAAAATTGTAGTTGTGGTCCTGTAGTTTCCTTTTACCAGCAATCTCTACACATGGGTTTTCTTTTATATAGTTTCCTTTGAATTTAAAAAAAATCATTGCTCGTGTAAGATGCAGTAAAATTAATCTTTTAAATGTAGGACTTTTTTCTCTCTTTTATAAGAGATAAATACTAAATGAGCCAGGCTCATTTAGTGAGCCAGATTTATTTATTTTTGAGATGGAGTTTCGCTCTTGTTGCCCAGGCTGGAGTGCAACAGTGTGATCTTGACTCACTGCAACCTCCGCCTCCTGGGTTCAAGCGATTCTCCTGTCTCAGCTTCCCGAGTAGCTGGGATTACAGGCATGCACCACCCTCCTCAGCTAATTTTGTATTTTTAGTGGAGACAGGGTTTCTCTATGTTGGTCAGGCTGGCCTTGAACTCCCGACCTCAGGTGATCTGTGCACCTTGGCCTCTCAGAGTGCTGGGATTACAGGCATGAGCCACCAAACCTGGCCTGGGTTTTTTTTAAACTGGCAAGGTGGATCATATAGTAATTAATGTGTAGCCCAATTTCTTAACATTTTATATTAATTTTGCATATTGATAGTTACTGTAGACTTTGGCAATGGCCTATTTAATTCACCATTGAAACCATTTTATCTGAAGCATATATAGTCAATAGTAGGTTAATCAAAAAGGTGGTTTATAAAGCAAGGAATCATTTTTTAAAATTCATACATACGTGAAATAATATTAAACATAAATGGCTATTTGCCAATCTTTTAACATTTTTAATTGAAGTAATACATGAATATAATTTTTAAAAAAACAAAGGCTTATGTTGTAGCCATCTTTACATATTTCTCAGAATTTTTGTATGCTATATTCCTAGAAGTGGAAATGCATGGTCTGAATACTCTGGAAAATGAGGGGTTTTATTTATTTATTTGTTTTAGACAAAGTCTCGCTCTATTGCCCAGGCTGGAATGCAGTGGCACAATCTCACTGCAACCTCCACCTCCCAGGTTCAAGTAATTCTCCTGCCTCAGCTTCTCAAGTAGCTGGGACTCTAGAGGTGGGCGTGTTATCATGCTCAGCTAATGTGTGTGTGTGCGTGCGCGTGTGTGTGTGTAAATAGAGGTGGAGTTTAACTATGTTGGTCAGGCTGGTCTCAAACTCCTGACCACAAGTGATCCACCATCTTGGCCTCCCAAAGTGCTGGGATTACAACTGTAAGCCACTGCACCCAACCGTAATGAGGGTTTTTGATATTACCCCTCACCCTTGTTTCTCTTTTTTTTCCTCTCACTCTTGCCTACTTTCATCACACTTTTTTGTTCTTCTAGAGTCAGTATAATCATTGTGATCATGTATATGTTCATTGCTGAGCAAATAGTCAGGGGAGAAGGGAAGAGAGGATCTTCCTTCTGACACTGCTAGTCTTCTGGCTCCAAGCTGATCTCTAGGGGCTGTTTATATGACAGTCCTTGTGGGATTGCTTTCTGTGGTCATCCTCTTGATATTCCCTGAGAGAAACATGTTTCTCTTGTTTTCTGTGTCCAGTGTCTTCATGCTTTACCTTTTGTTTTGGAAATGCATTTCCAGTAGTTATCTGAGGAAATCACATGGAGGAAACTTTTCAGGTGAAAAAAACACTTTTGTCCAGGTGCAGTGTCTCGTGCCTAAAAGCTCAGCACTTTGGGAAGCCAAGGCAGGAGGACTGCTTGAGCCCAGGAGTTGGGGACCAGCCTGAGCAACATAGTGGGACTCCATCTCTACACAAAATAAAAAATTAGCCAGGTATTGTGGTAGGTGCTTCTAGTCCCAACTACGTGGGAGGCTAAGGTGTGTGAGGATTGCTTGAGCCAGGAATGTTGAGGCTTCGGTGAGCCATGATTGCGCCACTGCCCTCCAACAGAGCAAGACCCTGTCTCAAGAAAAACTTAAACCTTTTACTCTCATTGCTGATTAGGCAAAGAATAGAATTCCAGGTTGAGATCATTTTTCCTTGAGAATTTTGAAATAGTTATTCCACTGATTTCTACTTTCCAATGTTGCTACTAAGAGATCTTTCTTTTTTTTTTTCCATTGGGCTTTCTGTATTGTTCCACTTAATTAACGTTTTATTCTTGTTTTCTGGAAATAGTATTTCTTATCTCTCAGACAATAACAAGGGTATTTTGCAAGATTTTTGTTCTTTATAGTTTTCTTTCCTATATTTTGTTTCTTCCCAGATTCCTTTTGCTGCACGTTTACCTTTTCATTTGAAGACTTTTCTCACACAGCTGAATCTTTCATTGCTGCCTATTCTGACTTAATAGTTAGGTACTGAGAGAGCCGAATGGAATTTTTCTTCGATTGTGACAGTGTAGAACTTTTCAACTAGTGGTTATTACTTCAGGGTAATTAGATATTTTTGGATATCAGTGACTGTAGATATATTTTCTTAGGCTATACGTTTTCCAGAAACCTCTCCTCTCCCCTTGGGAAATAGACCTGGCTACCAGTAGAGTTTTCTTCCTTCATAATGTAAACTTCTTTGTAATTCCTCTATTTTTGGTTGTGCCTCAGCATCTGATGCCAGTTTTTCTGTTGTTGTTTTGGGTTTTTTTGAGGCAGAGTTTCACTCTTGTTGCCCAGGCTGGAGTGCAATGGCATGATCTCAGCTCACTGCAGTATCCACCTCCCCGGTGCAAATGATTCACCTGCCTCAGCCTCCTAAGTGGCTGGGATTATAGGCACCTGCCACCACGTCCAGCTAATTTTTTGTATTTTTAGTAGAGATGGGCTTTTACCATGTTGGCCAGGCTGGTCTTGAACTGGCCTCAGGTGATCCTCCTCCTTTAGCCTCCCAAAGTGTTGGGATTACAGGTGTGAGCCACCACACCTGGCCAGGTGCCAGTTTTTATAATGGCCAACACTTCTCTAGAAAGTAAATCTTAAGTGTTCTCCTAGAATGCGAAGGGAGTGGTTGACATTTTTCACTGACTGGGGAGGGGACTATACCAAATCTCGCTGTTTATAAAGGCTTTCAACCAATTCTGTCTTCAACTGTTACTCATACCATCTTGCAGAGGATAGGATGTCTCCAATTTCTGAGGCATTCTGGGGGTGCTATGACATGTACTGTTTCTGATTTACCTTGTGTGTTCATATTGGACCAGTATTCATCTCAATTTGATCTGTTACTGTTTTTCACTCCGATTTGCACATTCCAGGATTTTGTTCTCTGCTATTATGTCTCTTGACATTCTCTTTGCCTGAGGGTTCCCCCCCCACCTTCCTTCTTTATTTCTTTTTTCTTTCTTGAGACAGGATCTTGCTCTGTTCCCCAGGCTGGAGTGCAGTGGTGCAATCACAACTCATCGCAGCCTCAACCTTATGGGCTCAAGGGATCCTCCCCCAAGTAGCTGGGACTACAGGCATGTGCCATCATACCCAGCTAATTTTGTTTGTTTTGTGGAGATGGAGTTTCGCCACGTTGCCCAGGCTGGCCTGCCTTGGCCTCCCAAAGTGCTGACATTATATGTGTGCACCACTGCATCTGGCCCCAGTTTTTAAGTATTCGTCTATCATTTTAGTGAGGTTTCTTTAGGTTGAGCTCATTGAAATATGCATATAACTTACATAAAGTAAAATGCTTTTTTGGTATAAGGTTGTGTGAATTTCAACACACATAAGTCACATGCAAGTTAGAGAACGTTTCCATCACTTCAAGTTCCCTTTTGCCCCTTTGTAGTCAGTTTCTCCCTTCATGCCAGTGTCCATGTACACAACCTTGGTGAAAGAAACAGAGTAGGTATTTATCCCCATAGAGCTTATACTCAAGCATATCCATGGGATTTATTGCTTAGTTCAAAATTTGCTAAGAAGAATAGCTATGTTTTACTTATCTTCAACTAAGCTGATTATCTCAGTCTTTCTGATGTTGTGTTCTTTTACTTAAAATTTTCAAATGATTTTTTTAAAAAAAATAGACTATTTAACAGCACCTGGGGAGAAAAATAGACTGTATTTTAGAAGAAGTGTACAGCAAAATTGAGCAGAAAGTAGAATTTCTGTTTATCCCCTGCGCCCACACATGCATGCCGTTTCCCACTTTAAGGGACATTTTAAAAAAAACATACACCTATCTTTTTTCTCCTTTAAATAGGGACAGAGGTCGGAGGAGCAGATCACGCTTGCGAAGGCGGTCTCGATCACGGGGTGGTCGTAGACGAAGAAGCAGAAGCAAAGTCAAGGAAGATAAATTTAAAGGAAGTCTTTCTGAAGGAATGAAAGTTGAGCAGGAATCTTCGTCTGATGATAAGTAAGAGTAGAACTTACCCATAACTTAATTTTTCCAGTTTAGAGAAGTCTTATTTGACTTGGAAATCGTTAAGTAATTTCCACCTAAATATCATAAGTGGTTCCATTAATTTGGCTCTAAATTTAAAAGTTAATCTTTTGTGAATATTGTGTAGATCGTATCACAGAATTAGTGGTTTTCTGAATTTAGGGTTTCAGCTTTGGCTGGAGTGAATATTGGGCCTTCATTTTATCGTGAGCCTACCCTTTGTTTTTATTATGAACAACACATAGATTAGTCCTGCCAGCTCAAGTTAACAGATTTCAGGAGGAATAGCCTGTAAAAGTTTAGACCTTTGAGTTTGTGTCAGATGATACATACTTTGCAATTGCTATTTTGTGGTGGGTGTCTTTGTTACAATGTGAAAATGTAGAAACATTTGAAGTGTCTAATAAAATAGTGGGGACATTTTTCCCTGTTTCTACAAAAAATACAAAAATTAGCCTGGCCTGGTGACACACACCTGTAGTCAGGAGGCTTGAGGTGGAAGGATTGCTTAACCCTGGGAGGAGTAGGTTTCTGTGAGCTGTGATCACACTACTGCACTCCAGCCTGAGCCAAAAGAGTGATACCCTGTCTCGTAAATAAATAAAATGCAAACTTGATTGTCTAAGTAGAGTATCTCAAAAATAAATGGATCAAATCTAGAGCCATTCACAACAGGAGGTTATTTGCCTCCCTGGGGACATGTCAGAGGACATTTCTTGTCATCTGTTGGCTAGAGGCCAGAGATAATGCATTCTACAATGCACAAGATACCCCCCTCGCACCCCCCTGTGCGTGGGCGCACGTGCGCACACACACACACACACACAGAGACAGAACTATCCATATCAAAAAACAAATCTTGCTAAGGATGAAAAACCTTAGTTAAAACCAAGTGATTAAGAAAGCTGGGTAGGGGAAGGCCATTCTACATAGATTCTGATATAATCAAAGTGCAGGTTGCCTGTTCTGCAGTGGAGAATATCTGCATACTCTTCAGATATGCCGCGTCCTGCATACTCTTTAGGTATGCCGAGTCCTTACAAATGTGTGTATACTCTTCACTGCATATTCATATGCAAGAGTATTCCTGTGCATCCGATAGTATCATAGAAAAAGTTGCATTGGGAGAGATCATAGAGATTGTGGAGGTGGTCTTTGAGGGATAAGTGCAGAGGGTTGGGGGCAGTGTATCAGAGTAGAGCCACATTCCCCTTCAGATCAGATGCAAATATTTGCATGTACATTTTTGATAGGGAAATATGGGTGTAGCTTTCTTGAGCTTTCAGGTGGTTCTGACATCCAGAAAAGGTAACCATATCTATCCTTGCCGTTGTTTTATAGGTGAGAAAACTGAGGCTAGGGAGGTAAAGTGATTTGCTAGTCATGGAAAAACTAGTGGTAACTTTTGCAAACCTGGAGTTATTTCTTTTATTCCCATTTTTGGTGCCATGAAATAGATGAGAAGAAGACTGAAACAAAGGTTAGATTACTTCCCTGCATTCCAAACCAGGCAGTTAAGTGAGATGGTTTGGAAATGAGAGGAATATGACTTAAGACTTTTGCTCTAACTTACTGATATCTACATTTTCCTGTCTTTCACTTTAAAATGTATAAGGGATATGGATTTAGAATCTCTAAGAGTGTTTGAATTTTTCTTTAAGCCTTGAAGACTTTGACGTGGAGGAAGAAGATGAAGAAGCCTTAATAGAACAGAGAAGAATCCAAAGGCAAGCAATTGTTCAGGTATGTGATTTTAGTGAAAAATAATCATCACTGTAGTAAAGTATTTTTTTGCTTTAGCAAAAAAGTGACATTAATAATAGTTGGTTGAGTCCTTAGAAAAGGAGAGTATATATAATATTATCTTCATGAGATTTGAAAAAATGATCGTTTTTTTAGTTACTAAAACTGAGATGGTTGCTCTTTGTTGGTTATACATAGAATTCTGGTTGTTTATACCATATCTGATATAAACCTCTTCTGTAAGACATGAGAATTTGAAGTTTGCTTTCTTTTTAAGTTAATGAACACATATGAGTATAGAATAAACTGGAGGAATTTCATTTAGCAAAATATTATAAATGTTACTATGTGAATAAAATAGGATCATAATGGCAAGTTTTGTAATGTGAATGTGGTGATTTAAATGAAACATTAAAAAAAAAATGTTAAGACTAGAGTCAGGGCCGGGTGCGGTGGCTCACGCCTATAATCCCAGCACTTTGGGAGGCCGAGGTGGGTGGATCATGAGGTCAAGAGATCGAGACCATCCTGGTCAACGTGGTGAAACCCCGTCTCTACTAAAAATACAAAAAATTAGCTGGGCATGGTGGCACGTGCCTGTAATCCCAGCTACTCAGGAAGCTGAGGCAGGAGAATTGCCTGAGGCGGAGGTTGCGGTGAGCTGAGATTGCACCATTGCATTCTAGCCTGGGTAACAAGAGCGAAACTTCGTCTCAAAAAAAAAAAAACAACAAGACTAGAGCCAGATGATGAAGAAGATTGGGTGGGGAAAGAACGTATAAAGATCTTGATAGAGTCTTTTAATTAGAAGGTTTGGTGACTTGGAAAGTTGTCAGCTCTTCCTTAGTCAGAAGACAAGGAGAAAACAGCTGTGGCAGCTTTCCTGAACACACATAGCAAACCATAAATCAGGTAACAGTATGCCACATTGGCATGAAGGACAGAACTTGCATCACCAGAGAGGAAGTAGGGCAAAACTAATTTTGGGGGGAAGCTTACTTTTCTGGGGCACTGGTAAAATTGTTGTTAATAAACTGATATCAGGCTGGGTGCAGTAGCTCACACCTGTAATCCCAGCACTTTGGGAGGCCAAGGTTGGTGGATTACCTGAGGCCGGGAATTTGAAACCAGCCTGACATGGAGAAACCTTTTCTACTAGAAATACAAAATTAACCGGGCATGGTGACACATGCCTATAATCCCAGCTACTCAGTAGAATGAGACAGGAAAATCACTTGAACCAGAGAGGTGGAGTTTGTGGTGAGCTGAGATCACACCGTTGCACTCTAGCCTGGGCAATAAGAGCGAAACTCTGTCTCAAAATAAATAAACAAACTGATATCCCTGAGGATGTGGATGGATATTTTTTTGTTCTTGCCCATGTCCACAGTCCCTTACCTCCAATCCTTGGGGGCCAGATGTACTTCGGAACTCAGACATTTTTGAGTTTTAGAAAGGTGATATGGTACATCTATTATATAATTTTGTGCCATCTGTGAGGTCTGCCTCAGACTCCATCATCAGACACTGACATTTCTACAGTGAGGTGTGCTATAATAGTTACACTGGGGAGAAAAGACAATAAATGGCATCTCATCTGATCAGGTCAAATGTTGCCGCCTGATGAATAAACAAGAAACAAAGAAAAACTTTTGGCTGGGCACGGTGGCTCACGCCTGTAGTCCCAGCACTCTGGGAGGCCAAGGTGGGCGGATCACCTGAGCTCGGGAGTTCAAGACCAGCCTGACCAACATGGTGAAACCCCATCTTAAAAAAAAAAAGGAAAAATAAAAACTTTTTTAGATTTTTGTGAATTTAGAAGTACATAAGGGATTATTGATCTGATTGAACAAAAGTATAAATACCTTTTGTTTTTTTTTACATTATTCGATACTTTCTCCTAACTTTTTGTTGTAGCAACTCTTAGCAAATTAGTGTATTTGGATAGCATCAGACTTTATGAAAGCATTCTTTTCTGTATTGTTATTGCAGAAATATAAATATCTTGCTGAAGATAGCAATATGTCTGTGCCATCTGAACCAAGCAGCCCCCAGAGCAGTACAAGAACACGATCACCTTCTCCAGATGACATTCTGGAGCGAGTAGCTGCTGATGTTAAAGAGTATGAACGGGAAAATGTTGATACATTTGAAGCCTCAGTGAAAGCCAAGCATAATCTAATGACAGTTGAACAGAATAATGGTGAGTGAGATATATTTTTGTCCTGGCGACACTGTTCTCTGAAATTTTAGCTCTATAACTTTATAATAAGAGACCTTATTTGGGATGGGATTGGGGAAAAGAAAAAGGGATAAACATGTTGCTTCTGCTAAATATTGCAGTAATATATTAAATATGCTTTTATGGATATTCTCTATAAATGTGTTTTTATTCACATATCCTGAATAGTATACTGAATTCCTACCTAATTCATTGTCTTTTGTTTTGCTTGCTGTTTTAAAGCAAATCCAATTATGATTTTATTTCACCTGTAAATACTTGTTTGTATATCTATCAGATAAGAACATTAATGTTTAAAAACATTAAATAAAAGAAGAGGTTTGCACTTTTTGGTTACCCCAGAAGATAGTTTGTATAGGAAAGGCAGGGTAAACACATGTTTATTATTTTCTTTATTTACCAATTTTTAGACTAGAATAGAATTGGTGCCCTAGCAACCTCCAGAGATAACTAATGAGAATTTGACTGTTTTGTTAGGTGTTTATCATTTGGTGTCACTGTGTACTTGATGTGTTTCTATCCAGTGCTGTTATTTTTCTTTCTGAAGCTCAGATTGGTCTAACTGGGCTGGAGCAAGGAGCCCCTTTAGTTGATGTCTCATGTCCTTTTGGCCCAGCCCTTTAGTATTGAATATAGCTTGCTTTCTTTCTAGAACAGGAGCCAGCAAACTTTTTGTCTAAGAGATTAGGTAGTAAATAGTTGAGCCTTTAGTAATTTTATTGGCCTTTTCCCTCTATAGTTCCATGTAGGTTGGAGGGCAGAACCTGCTACAGACAGTACATTGATGAATGAACATGGCTATGTTCCAGAAAAAACCCTTGGACACTGAAATTTGAATTTCATCTAATTTTCACTTGCCACAAAGTATTCTATTTTTTTTTCCCTATGAACGCTTACAAATGTAAAAATAGGCCATACAGAAAGAAGCAGCCAACTAGATTTGGCCCACAGTCTGTATACAGCTTGCTGATTCCTGTTCAAGCAAGATGCCATAGATTTATCTTGTTCATGTCCTGTGCAGAGCAGAATAAGCTATTTCTCCAAGGATCCCTGGTTTCATTTAACAGGAAATGCCATTTAGACATCACAGGACACAGACACTTATAGTGTCTGTTATTTCTGGGTCTTTTCACTGGACAAAGTTAAGAAGCAGGTACTCTTTTGGAAAGGAGGAGTTTACACAGATATTACCAATTCAAAATTGAGATTACAGGAGTTTATTAATTTAAGATTTTATATTTTTATCTCTTCTATTGCAGTGAAAAATTTAGCTCTTAATAACATGATTATCAGTAGGTTATTTTGAAACTTTTGTACACATAAGACATCAGTATGATTATTGTTATTAAATGTACTAAATGTAGCTTAAAATTTCAGTGGTTCTTTTTGTTGTTAGGATACATTCTAAGGTGAATAGGCGTAATTCTCTGTCTAAGATCATTTGAAATAATTCTCTGTGTGGTATGTCACAAATTTGATAGATTCAGGTTTATGTTCATTTGCTTTTGATTTTTAGGAATCAACTTTTTTTCCTTAATACATTTGTCTTTCATGTATGCATGTATGTGTGTATGTATATGTTGTATCCTGCCTACACACACAAAACCAAACTTGCATACTTAGATCAGTATGCTTTTCCTCACTCATTTTTATAGGCTATGCCATAGTTTATTCAGTCAGACTTCTGATGATATTTGAATTGTGTCCAGTTTTTGGCTGTTCATTGGGTATAATCAGTATTATAATGGCATTGTGCATTAAGTCATTCTTTAATTCTTGGCCTCTGCGTTTTAGGATAGTTCCCTAGAAGTAGGATTGCTGGGTCAGAAAAGGGAGTGAATATATAATTTTGCTATATATTGCCAAATTTCTCTCTTTTATAAGGGTTATACCCATTTTGCCATCTTTCTGAGTGCTTGTTTATCCAGAGTCTTGTTAACAGAATATTACTGTACTTTTAGATTTTTAGCTAGTATCAGAGATCAGAAATTGATACCTCATTGTAGTTTTAATTTGCATTTCCTTAATGTAAGTGATAATGAGCATGCGTTCATATGGGTAAAGCTACTGGATTTTTTTTCTAGAAACTCCTTTTGTCTTTTTCAGTTTTTTTATGGGATTATTGGACTTTTTAAGGGAAAGATACCTAGAGATCTATATTGTGGAAATATTAACCTTTTGAGATTTTTCAGGTGCAAATAACATTTTTTAAAGATGAACTTTTATTTTAACATAAAGTCATCGTTAGCTATTAGCTTATTCATTTAAACTAAGAATACTAAAAGTTAACATTAGGTCCTTCAACTTTTTTTTTTTTTTTTTTTGAGCTGGAGTCTTGCTCTGTCACCCAGGATGGAGTGGAGTGGTATGATCTTGGCTCACTGCATCCTCTGCTTTGGGTTCCAGCAAGTCTCCTGTCTTAGCCTCCCAAGTAGCTGGGATTACAGACACCTGCCACCATGCCTGACTAATTTTTGTATTTTTAGTAGAGACAGGGTTTTGCCTTGTTGGCCAGGCTGGTCTCAAACTCCTGACCTCAGGTATTCCACCCTCCTCAGCCTCCCAAAGTGCTGGGATTACAAGCATGAGCCACTATGCCTACCCAGTCTTTCAATTTTTTGAAATGCATTCTGTTATTAAAGGTGAATAGCTTTATGTATTTTAAATGTTAATAAAGTGATTCTAAATCAAATACTATTGGGAAACTGATGTGCAAGAGGGCAAAAAAGTTTGAATTACTATGAGTGAGTTTCCCTTCCTTATTTTGTGTTTTAAATTGTCTCTTTACTTTTCAAATGTTAATACTAATTTCCTTTAAGGTTCATCTCAAAAGAAGTTGTTGGCACCTGATATGTTTACAGAATCTGATGATATGTTTGCTGCATATTTTGATGTAAGTAATTTTAAATTATTTAATTTAAATAATTCTTCCTGTTAAACAGGAAAAAATATAACATATGGGTGTGTATATATACACATAAAGAAAGAAGGATAAAGCAAATGTAATAAATATTTTGAACAGCGTAGGTGAAAGGTATCTGAAAACTCTACCAGTTTTGTGTCTTCTGAAATTCACGTCAAAAATTTTAAGACAAGTATGGCAGAACTATTTGAGAGCTTTATAAAAGTCAAACACCAAATGACTCAAATATGTGGTTGCTTGTACAGTATTGTATATTTAAATACATACACATACATGTGGTAGTTAGGTGAGATAAGGAGGTACCAATATTTTTTAGGTCTTTATCAGAGTAGAATCTGCTTTGGGGCCTCTATATTGTATTAAAAGGTTATTGAGAACTGAAAGATTTGGAGCTTAATAGAACTTATTGAAGAATTGGAAATGTTAAAAGAAGTAAGAAATTTTGCTGATTTAGCCATTTCATAAATTTTTATCTTTCTTGTGTTGGAAGAGTCTTAAACTATAAACACAGTCAAACATAGGGACATTTTCAATATAAATTTCAAAGGACATGAGAAATATGCGGCCTTCATAAAAGAGGTAGGGAAAATAAACATAAAGAAAAATGGGATAAGGTAAATAATCATATATATGTAGGCATACACACACACACAGCAACAGGAACACCAACATATGGATGAATTAGGAGAGGATGAAATGAGTATTGAGCCAGTTATGGTGTCAGTAGTCATTTGCTTGGCTGATACTGAAGGATCTTCTGGGCATCATGGAGAGTAAGGTCCAATAAAGAATCTTCAGAAGTATCACATATTCTTATTTTTCAGTTATCCACATAGTTTCAACTAGTGCAGCCACATGGGAAAACACAAATGATATAAGAGCTATCAAAAATTGTATCTGGTTTTGAATTTTTTTCTCTTTTGTTTTGAGATATGGTCTCTCTCTGTCCCAGACTAAAGTGTGGAGTGCAGTAGTGAGATCATGGCTCACTGCATGCAGACTTGAACTCCGGGCTTAGTTGATCTTCCTGCTTCAGCCTACCAAGTAGCTGGGACTACAGACACGAGCCACTACACCTGGCTTTTTTTTTAAGTAGAGAAGAGGTGTCACCGTGTTACCCAGTTGGGCAGTTTTTTTGTTTTTGTTATTTTTTTTCTTGAGTGTCATTTTGAATCAAGAGACTTAGGTTTTATGTCTCAGCTAGGTTGGATTTACAGAAGTGATAGTAAGAGTTTACTTAATTTGGAATAAAATGCTTTTATTATCTTATATCTGGGGTTACCCTTTGCAAGTCTCTGCCTCCCGGGTTCAAGCAGTTCTCCTGCCTCAGCCGCCTGAGTAACTAAGATTATAGGCGCCCGTCACCATGCCCAGCTAATTTTTGTATTTTATGGGGTTTCATCATTTTGGCCAGGTTGCTCTCAAACTCCTGACCTCATGATCCACCCACCTCCACCTCCAAAAGTTCTGGGATTACAGGCGTGAGCCACTGCTCCTGGCCTACCCTTTGTATTTTAAAGGAGGGGCTTTAAATGTCTGACAAGTGGGTAAACGGTTCATGTTGCCTCTTTAATTTCAGAGTGCTCGTCTTCGGGCTGCTGGCATTGGAAAAGATTTCAAAGAGAATCCCAACCTGAGAGATAACTGGACTGATGCAGAAGGCTATTATCGTAAGTTCACATTTTATGTTAACTTTAGAGTTCATTGTAACACCTTGCAAAAGCAAGCTGCTTGATGGAATCACACATTATTGGAGAACTCTGAAAAATCACATCACAGTGCCATTGCTTAAAAAATGTGGCACACCCAACCGCTGCACAAAGTCGTGTATTTTATAAGCAGCCCAGAAGCGTCAAAACTGAGGTAAGGTAAAGTCTTGAACCTAAATCTGCTCAGAGTTATTTTCAGCCATTAGATAATCCTCCAGAAGGAAGGGGTATGTCACTTACTCATCTTGATCTGAAACCAAGAAAAACGACAAACCGGAAACTTTGGATGCCAGTCATGCAGTATTTGTCATGCAGGACTACAATTGGGAAAACTCCAGTGAGCACATTTCTTCCCTACTCAATGTTAAAATTGTGGGCAGTTGATAGGACAACAGGAACTCTTGTAGTGATCTGAAGTGGGCATGCAGCTTCCAACCACACTCCTATTAGAGTGAGTCAGTGGAGACGTGACTTCGATTCTCCATTGTGTCTAGGAAACCAAATAGTAGAGATTTAACACAATTTTTAAGTGACTGCACTGTAGTTCCTACTTTCTGATTCTGTTTATTATAGTCTGAATTCTAATTTTTTAATTTGCTTTTCTAGGTGTGAACATAGGTGAAGTCCTGGATAAACGTTACAATGTGTATGGCTACACCGGGCAAGGTGTATTCAGTAACGTTGTACGAGCCAGAGATAATGCAAGAGCCAACCAAGAAGTAGCTGTAAAGATCATCAGAAACAATGAGCTCATGTAAGTTCCGAAGATGTGTGATGAAGCCTTCAACAATACAGATATTTAGAGCTAAACTTTTTTTTTTTTTTTTTTGAGATGGAGTCTCGCTCTGTTGCCCAGGCCTCCCAGGTTTAAGTGACTCTTCTGCCTCAGCCTCCAGAGTAGCAGGGACTATAGGTGCATGCCACCATGGCCGGCTAATTTTTGTACTTTAAGTGGAGATGGGGTTTCACCGTATTGGTCAGGCTGGTCTCGAACTCTCCGCCTCCCAAAGTGCTGGAATTACAGGTGTGAGCCACCGTGCCTGGCCTTAAACTATTTTTTTTCTTTTTTCTTTTCACGGATCATGTTGAAGTTGTTCTGTGAAATAAACTGTTTTTTTAAAGTGCGATACATGATAGAATGTGTAAAACAAATATTTCAATTATAAAGTAACAGAAACGGTTGTTTTTGACTGGATTTTGAAATTATAGCCATATGTTATATGTATGTACTAGAAAAATAGGCTGATTTATTTTAAATCGTTTCAGTGCGTTTTAGTACCTACTATGTGTACTGATAACAACTTAAACTCCTTCCTTCTATTGTCTATCTTATACCATCCTTTGCTTTATCTTAAGACAAGTTGAGAAATGAAAAAAATCATGTTGATTAGCTGTCACTATGGTGACTTGCAAAAAAAGTGAAAATTTATTATCGGAGTGACGAGAATCTGTCTTATTTATTTATTTATTTATTTATTTTTGAGACAGAGTTTTGCTCTTGTTACCCAGGCTGGAGTGCCAATGGCGCGATCTCGGCTCACCACAACCTCTGCCTCCTGGGTTCAGGCAGTTCTCCTGCCTCGGCCTCCTGAGTAGCTGGGATTACAGGCACGCGCCACCATGCCCAGCTAATTTATGTATTTTTAGTAGAGATGGGGGTTTCACCTTGTTGACCAGGATGGTCTCAATCTCTTGACCTCGTGATCCACCCGCCTCGGCCTCCCAAAGTGCTGGGATTACAAGCTTGAGCCACTGCACCCGGCCTATTTATTTTTATTTTTCTAGAGATGTAGTCTTGCTCTGTCACCCAGACTGGAGTGCAGTAGGCTGATCTCAGCTCATTGCAACTTCTGTCTCCCGGGTTCAAGTGATTCTCCTGCCTTACCCTCCTGAGTAGCTGGGATTACAGACGCTCACCACTGTGCTCGGCTAGAATCTGTCTTTTTTAAAATTATTACTTATTGCTGTTTTCCTCCAATAGAATAATTACCATACTCTTTTAATACCACACACTGAGCTAGTATTAAAATCAACTTAACGTTTTTGAAGTGAAGTTAGTGTTAAGTTTAGATTGCCGTAGGCTTAGAAAGCGCCTTGTTTTGATGGGAAGTCCCAATTTCTGTATTTTATTAGCTGCTCAATATAAAATATAGCTTTTGACAAATTATAACCAGAATTTCTTCAGATAACCAAGTGTTAAAATTTGATAAGGCATCCATTACTACAATTTTTTTTTTTGATGCACTTTTGCTCTGTCACCCAGCCTGGAGTGCAGTGGTACGATCTTGGCTCACTGCAACCTCTGCCTCCTGGGTTCAAGCCATTCTCCTGCTTTAGCCTTCTGAGTAGCTGGGATTACAGGCGTCTGCCACTATGCCTGGCTAACTTTTGTATTTTTAATAGAGATGAGGTTTCACCATGTTGGCCAGGCTGGTCTTGAACTCCTGACCTCAAGTGATCCACCCTCCTCAGCCTCCCAAAGTGCTGGGATTACAGGCTTGAGCCACTGCACCCAGCCTGTTTTGGAATAGAATTTACAAGATTGATTTTCCTTCGCGCAAAATCAAAAATTTTTAAAAATCAAAATAAAGGTGGGTTTGTTCCTCAGTGTTTTTGTTTTGTGCATTGATTATTTTGGAAATTTATGATAATGATAATTGACTAAATATAAAGTATGTGAATGATACATAGAGACATTATTTCTCAGTAGATTTATTAGTACTTAAAAATCCTCCCACATATCACCTGATCATCACAGTGGGGCTAGCAAATGTATATCTCCTCAATTTTGTATTTACTCAGTTTTATATTTCATTTTAGGCAAAAGACTGGTTTAAAAGAGCTAGAGTTCTTGAAAAAACTTAATGATGCTGATCCCGATGACAAGTTTCATTGTCTGCGACTCTTCAGGCATTTCTATCACAAACAGCATCTTTGTCTCGTATTCGAGCCTCTCAGGTACAATTTCAAAACCTATACGTTAAACTGAAAATTTAACTTCATCTTTACCACCTCATTTTGGGTAAATGCTGTGACAGATATTTGGATATTTGATTTGTTTTTTCCACACAGCTCTGGTCTTTGTTCTTTAACTTTTGGTTAACAGCTAGTCTTTTTTTTTTTTTTTTGGTGACAGTCTCTCACTCTGTTGCTCAGCTTGGAGTACAGTAGCACAGTCTTGGCTCACTGTAACTTCTGCTTCCTGGGTTCAAGTGATTATCATGCCTCAGCTACCCAAATAGCTGGGATTACAGGTGCACACCACTACACCTGGCTAATTTTTGTAGTTTTAGTAGAGACAGGGTTTGATTGTCTTGGCCAGGCTGGTCTTGAACACCTAACCTCAATTTATCTGCTCACCTTGGCCTCCCAGAGTGTTGGGGTTACAGGTGTCAGCCACGGTGCTCACAGTCTCTTGAATCATGAATCTACAAATGTTAGGTCAACAGAGAGAGTTTTTTTAAATTAAATACTTCAAGGAAGGGATTTTTATCTCTAACAGCATGGCTTTGTTGTGTTTTCAAATGTGAGTCTATTCTAAAATCAAAATGGGAGTTTTACCTTGCATATCTTTCTTCCTACTTATTTAGAAAATTGAATTTATTGGGAAATTGTGTTATATACATACAATTTGATATGCTCTCATTCCAGTATAAAATAATTTGTCAGATGTGGGGTGGGTTTTTGAATATTTTTGTTTGTATTTTGCACTTGATTTTACTTTATGCTTGCAAATATTTTTGCTTTTTTTAATTTCCATTTTGCATTTTAACTCCGGTTTTGTTTTTTCTCCTAAAAGTATGAACTTACGAGAAGTGTTAAAAAAATATGGTAAAGATGTTGGTCTTCATATTAAAGCTGTAAGATCCTATAGTCAGCAGTTGTTCCTGGCACTGAAACTCCTTAAAAGATGCAATATTCTACATGCAGATATCAAGCCAGACAATATCCTGGTAAGTCAAACAGCCAGGCTGCCCTGCACATCTTGTACTTTATATCGCTTCTTACTAGCAATCTGATGATTACTACGAGAAATGACATCTTAGAAACACAGGTCAGTATATTAAGAACCTATTTCAAATGACTAATACTTTTTACCTTTGTTGGAAATTGGACAGTGAAATTTTATTGACAAGTATGAAGAAAAAGGAAATGTGCCGTTGTCCCCCCCTTTTTTTTTCCCTCTTTTGATTGTTGGATTTAAACTATGCATAAAGCCTGGAATGCTTTAATGTAGTTATAATGGGTTTCTTCTGTTATCTTTAAAAAAAAAAAAAAAAAGCTGCACAGATTGCTGTTTTAAAATAAGGAGTGTTTGTACTTTTTTTTTGTCCAGGGCCCCAAACATAGTAAAGCTCAATTGTGGTTAATGTGGTTAAGTATTGTATGGAAAGAATCGCTTTTGAAGTTTTTTTATTCTTTTTTTTTTAACTCTTAAGTTCGTGGGTACATGTGCAGGCTTGTTACATACATAAAATTTTGTCATGGAGGGTTTGTTGTATAGATTATTTTCATCATCAGGTATTAAGCCTAGTACCCATCAGTTATTTTTCCAGATCCTCTCCCTTCTCTCACCCTCCAGCCTCTGATGGACCCCAGTGTGTATTGTTCCCCTCTGTGTCCTTGTGTTCTCACCTTTTGAAGTTTTAATCCTCTTCAACTAATAACTTCTGGTGGTTAACATGCAGATTTCACTATGTTATATGTGTTTTTGAAATTTTGAAAAACATACACATTATCGTAGTGATGTGATTAATGCACACACACACTCTTCCCTGGACCCATTTCTTCACCCTGTTCTGTGACCTTCAGTTTGGGGCGTGTTCACAACTTGGAGAATTCTAGCTTATCTGCCAGTAACAGCCTGCATTTCATTTTTTTTCTAAATGGGTTTCCTTTATCAACTCTCCCACAGTTGATACCAAGGAGAGATCCTTAAAACTAAAAGCTAAGCATGTAAGGTGTCCTTTATTGGAAACGGTTTGAGCTATTAAAAAGTAAATACTTTGTTCCTTTTTTTTTTTGAGGCAAGGTCTTGTTCTGTCACCTAGGCTAGAGTGCAGTGGTGCCGTATGGCTCACTGTAACCCTGAACTCCTAGGCCCAAGCAGTACTCCTGCCTCAGCGCCCCCAGTAACTGGAACTACCTATAGGAACATGCCACTGTGACACTTAATTTTTAAATTTTTTTAGAGATGAGGTTTTGCTATATTGTCCCGTCTGGTCTCAAACTCCTGGGCTCAAGCAGTCCTCCTGTACCCTCCCAAAGTGCTGGGATTATAGGTGTGAGCTCCCATGCTTGGCCAAAATAAATTATTAAAACAATGGTGATTGAATTAGACTTTTTAGTTGAAGGACTTCTTATCAATAACTAAGCTCTTTGATTCATATTTCTCTTTTTCTTTTTTGTTAATATATTAAAATGTTTCCTTCCAGACAACCACATTAGTAATGAGGTACATTCCATTTTTATGTTTGGTCTGAATTGTTGTATATCTAATGTAACTTGGACTTGAGTAATTACATTGAAATGGTAGGTACATTAAAAATGAATTGTAAATTGTAAATTTGTGTGGCCAATTTCGTGGTTTGCTTTTACCTCAATTTTTTGTTTTTTAATTGTGAAATACATGGTCAAAGAATATGTAAAACATGTTCAATTTAAAAGGTCATTTACAGTTAGCACCTTTGTAACCATTGTGGAGTTAAAGAATAACATCTTTGCCAGTGTCATAGAAGAAGCTCTTGGTTTTAAAGCATACTGCTAAACTAGTATAGGTTTTTACATAAATTTCAGAAATGTTTTCTCTTCTTCATGGGGAAGGAAAAAAATAGACCTCAGTGACATGGAGCTGATTTTGTTAATGAAACTCCAAAGCATTTAGCTCGTGACTCCCGGCATCAGTGTGGCTTAAGTATCAGATTCCTCATGACAGGAGTAGAAGTTGTGTAGCAAACTGAAGTGCATATGGGATGGATACCCTGCTGTTATTTAAGGCAGTATAGCCAGCCCAGGAGTTCCACTGATAGATTCTAATTTTATAATAGTTCTGAGGTTTTCTCTGGGTATTGAAACTGCTTAAGTAGCTGAATTAAGTTTTAAGCTGCGCACGGTGGCTCACGCCTGTAATCCCAGCACTTTGGGAGGTGGAGGCGGGTGGATTACGAGGTCAGGAGTTTGAGACCAGCCTGGCCAAGATGGTGAAAACCCGTCTCTACTAAAAATACAAAAGTTAGCTGGGCACAGTGGCACGCATCTATAATCCCAGCTACTCGGGAGGCTGAGGCAGGAGAATTGCTTGAACCTGGGAGGCAGAGGTTGCAGTGAGCCCAGATCGTGCCATTGCACTCCAGCCTGGGTGACAGAGTGAGACTCCATCTAAAAAAAAAAAAAAAAGTTTTAAAGAACTTTTCTCTTTTAAGATAATTACGTTTCTGATTTCCAAGATGAAGAGAATGATAATCAATGTGGAAGTTAAAAATAATCATTTCTGTTACTATTAATAACTTAATTCTGTATATCATTTATAATAGTCCAATCTCCCCATAGAGACTGCCTAAGGCTATTTAAAATGATATGTTGCTTTGGGGTGGGAGCAGTAGGCCAAGTTCAAGTTCCAACTCGGTATTTGTGTGTGTCTCTTTTGAAGGGGGGAAGGGACTCTGCAATATGAATTATCTTCACTTGTTAACCCTGAACATGCTTCTGACTCATGAGTGGCAGCAGTCATGGGAGCAACTCCAGCCTTTCTCAGCAGATGTCACTGTTACTGTGTATGTTGAAGTATTTACAAAGGAAAAAAGAAACAAATGACTAATATAGAGTTCATGTTTATCAGTTTTGCCAGATATATTTAACGTTTTCTTGACTAATACCTTTGTATTTAAGGGTTTTAATATTTTTTAGACTGGAAGCGATTGCTAAATTTAGGATGAGATAGCAAGCTTCGGATGAAGAATGTTTTGTTTTTGTTCAAGTTTAATCTGAATCACCCTTCTGCTTTCATTGCCATTGTAATTCTCTGGCAACTGACAGTTAAGTCTGAGTCCTTAGTAATAAAACTTGACTTTATTCAGGTATTTAGGGTCTTTTTAGAGATGCTTTGCTTCATAAAATGAGATTTTTTCTCTCAGTACCTCACCCTTTTAAAAATGCAGTTGTTAAAATTAAATATACTTTGTGGTATCTCACGTTTCCTCACTGAAAACAGTTTTTACTCATTGTAATGAATATTTGATATATCTTAACTTTTCATAGTTAGGAAATTGAATTAAAAATAAATAGAAAATGAATTTTTAAATGAGTATCTTTGTTCTCAAAATAAAGCAGTAATTTTTATTTATTTGTATTAATTATTCCAGGCTTGAATTGAATTCCTTTGAAAAAATGTTTTGCAGGTTAATGAATCAAAAACTATTTTAAAGCTTTGCGATTTTGGGTCGGCCTCACATGTTGCGGATAATGACATAACACCTTATCTTGTCAGTAGATTTTATCGTGCTCCTGAAATCAGTAAGTTTCTTAATGTTCTTTGACCTGGGCCATCATATGTGGTGGAAACCGCTTACTTAATATCTAAGCACTGTTTTCCATCACACTTCAGCAGCTGCACGAGTTCATTCATGAGGAAGGGAACCATAGCAAGTTCATCCTCCTCAGGTGGAATGAAGGTAGTTGTGACAGGAGTCTTGATCATGTCGGGCAAGAGTAGCAAAACAGTTGTGGAAAATCCTCGACTTTAGAAGACTGCTCTTGATTATTCAAGGTCTGATTATCACATTTATGGATTGTATGGGACCTTTGTTTTTTCCTGTTGCCTTGGTTGAGGCTGACTAGCACCTCCACCAAAGGCAAAATGAGAAAAGAGAAGAAATACATATTTTCTTGTGCCCTTTCAGTTCCTCCCCAAACCTTCACTTTTTAAGGTTTTTAAGTTTGAGTCTCTATTAAGAATTAGTGGGAACGAACACAAAACTAATTGTCAAACTAAGGCATTAAGATTGTGGTTATAGTCCAAGCTAAGGTAGCCCCTCATTAGTGGAAATAAAACTTAATAGCAGTCAATTTTCTTTATCTTCGTATATTAAAACTTTGTTTTGTTTTCAGTTATAGGTAAAAGCTATGACTATGGTATAGATATGTGGTCTGTAGGTTGCACCTTATATGAACTCTATACTGGAAAAATTTTATTTCCTGGCAAAACCAATAACCACATGCTGAAGCTTGCAATGGATCTCAAAGGAAAGATGCCAAATAAGGTAAGACATTAGCATGAGCTTACTTCTTTAAGGTCTTAGTTTCTTATAAACTGACAGACTGCTGACACTTGCTCACCACATATAGCTATAAAACAAAACTTTCAGAAAGGCGGGTAGGTGGCTATCATGATTGCTCAGGTTCTTTCCTTTTTCTAGTGTTTAAATTAGTGGTTCTACTCAGCCAAGAGCTAATAATAGAACTTTTTTAGTGATGGACAGAGAGCAGCAATATTCTTGGGGATATATTCTTATTGGTAAAAGTTTCAAAATGTTTGGAAGACAGAATGGAAGAAGATGTAGATGGGTTAGGTAAAATATAAGAAAGTGCTTAGTTGTCAGAGAATGAATAGGTGAACATTAGATATTGTTAACTAATTTATTAAAGATTGGAGGTTACTTGGGAAAGGAAGGTACCAAGAAAATTTATTTAATATCTTTCTAACTCACCCTTGATACTTCAGCTATAATGCTAGTTTCTGTTTAACATGAAGCAAGGAAATTTTAGGCATTTATTAAAGTGTCTGAGGGCCATAATTTAGCTTTTCTTTTTTAATTTTTTTGGAGACAGAGTCTTGTTCTGTCACCAGGCACCAGGCTGGAGTTCAGTGAAACAATCTTGGTTCACTGCAGTCTCCGCCTCCTTGGGTTCAAGCAATTCTTCTGCCTCAACCTCCCGAGTAGCTGGGACTACAGTCTCACATCACGCCACCACACCCAGCTAATTTTTTTTGTATTTTTTAATAGAGACAGGGTTTCACCATGTTGGCCAGGATGGTCTCGATCTCTTGACCTCGTGATCCACTCGCCTCAGCCTCCCAAAGTGCTGGGATTACTGGTGTGAGCCACTGCAACTGGCCCATAACTTAGCTTTTTAAGATTTTAGCCTATTTGCTGAATTTCTGAAAAAAATGTACACATTTTTTGTAAAGGTCCGAAGCCTGTATGGTTTTTAGTTTTTCGTGTTTTGTTTTGTTTTTTGAGACTGGATCTTGCTCTGTGTCCCAGGCTGGAGTACAATTACCACTGCAGCCTTGAACTGAACCCCTGGGCTCAAGCAATTCTCCTGCCTCAGTGTAGCTGGGACTACAGGCATGTGCCACCACACCTAGCAAGTTAATGTTTTTGTAGAGGTGGAGTTGCAATGTTGATCAGGCTGATTTTTACATATTGCCCAAATTCTTTTATGTTGGACTGTATTTTTTTTTTTTTAGAATAAGTTACATAAAAATGAGCTATGTTGGCGTTTGTTTTAATGAAGTCTGACTTATATCATATTGGGGCTGTTGGAACATAATTTGTAAAGTGGTATTAGGTTCCCTAACTGCCAAGGAGGAAAAAAAACCTGAGTTCTGTAATATTTTTAGGAACAAATAATTTAAAGTCTTTGTTGAATCTCCAATTTTAAATTGTGAAAGCACAGTTTGATGTTAAAGTTGTTTTAAGTCACTGCCTGGACAGATAAAATTTCATGTTATTAAGTAGTGTTAGGTACAGTGTTTGTGTTTGCTTTTCCAAAGATGTTAATCAATTCCTGGGAGCAAGGGAATCTGAGATCAAACAAACCTGCGGAGACTAAATAACATACTTGTTTGACTTGTTGTATATTAAATTGTTAGTAGGCCAGACTGTTTTATAATAGTTCAAAACCCATGGTCTTATTTTGTTTTGTAGATGATTCGAAAAGGTGTATTCAAAGATCAGCATTTTGATCAAAATCTCAACTTCATGTACATAGAAGTTGATAAAGTAACAGAGAGGGTAAGTGTTTTAAATGCAGCATTCAATAGTTATTTTATTGTTAATTAATTGAATACCGACTCATACTAGGAGCTGTGAATTAAAAACACAAAGTAAATATTTCCTTTTTGCTTTTGACCAATTCCTAAATAAAGCACATCAGGCCATGGTAGATGAAAGGATTTTTAAAATGTTTTTCTGGCCGGGCGCAGTAGCTCACACCTGTAAGCCTAGCACTTTGGGAGGCTGAGGCAGGCAGGTTTGACCAGCCTGACCAACATGGAGAGACCTGTCTCTACTAAAAATACAAAATTAGCTGGGCATGGTGGCACATGATGGTAATCCCAGCTACTTGGGAGGCTGAGGCAGGAGAATCCCCTGAACCCGGGAGGCGGAGATCGTGGTGAGCCGAGATTGTGCTGTTGTACTCCAGCCTGGGCAACAAGAGCAAAGCTCCATCTCAAAAAAAAAAAAAGAAAATGTTTTTCTAGCATAATGAATTTGTTTTTATTATAGGTCATATTTAGGCCCTCATCACATCTTCCTTGGATTACTTTCCTGGTCTGGCTTACCATCCAGCTTTCTTACTGCTGCTGGAGTGATGTTTCTGAAAACAAATCTGATTATGTTCCTGTCCCTGCTTAAAAACCTTTGTTGGCTCCCTGTTACCTATGAAATAATATTAAAGTTCCTCAGAATGACAAATCTAACTGCCATCTTCAGTTTTTTCTTCCTTCAGCATACTCAAAACGCCCGCCGTTCCACACTTGGCCAGAAGGCATGCTGGTTCAGACCTTTGCGCTTTTGCTAACAGATCTCCGGGCCTTTGCTAATTAGACCTCCCTGAGCTTAGTCTTTTCCTGTGCTGCCTCACCCCTCAACCCCCTAAAAAATGTATCGACTTTAAGCCTCAGCTGAAATACACGTTCTGTATGAGCCTTTCTAAAACTCCCAGATTGAAGTAATGACTTTCTTATTTTTGTCCCATTGTATCATGTCTCTGTCAGAGCACTTAATAGCACTTCATGATATCAACTTATTTACATGTCTGTCACTTAACCACTTCAGGGTAGGGAAAGTACAATGCAATCAGCAAGTGCTGATTGTCAGTTTTCATTGCTAACTTGGGTTTTTTCATCTTTTTTTTTTTTTTTTTTTTTTTTTGAGACAGTCTCGCTCTGTCACCCAGGCTGGAGTAGTACAGTGGTGCAATCTCGGCTCACTGCAACCTCTGCCTCCTGGGTTCAAGCAATTCTCATGCCTCAGCCTCCCGAGTAGCTGGGATTACAGGTGCGTGCCACCACACCCAGCTAATTATTGTATTTTTAGTAGAGACAGGTTTTGCAGTGTTGCTCAGGCTGGTCTCGAACTCCTGGGTTGAAGTGATCCACCTGCCTTGGGCTTCCAAAGTGCTGGGATTATAGGCCTGAGCCGCCATGCCCAGCCCAGAATTGACCTTTTTCATTTAAGTTTCTTGGTTACCTTTTAAAAAGATACAGAGTGTAGGGGAAACCACATGAAAGTTTTTGTTGAGTAGGTGTGATACACAGATGCATCGCATAACCACAGCATACGCTCACACACACCTAGGGTACGTAGTATGGCCTTTTGCTTCTAGGCCTGAACTGTAAGTTGGTGGACAGAATACTGTAGGCACTTTTATAAGTGGTAAGTTATTCAGTGTGTATATATATATTTAATGTATGTATATTTTTAATATTTTTCATTGACCACCAAACAACCTGATTTAAGTTACATATGCTTAGTAACCTACTTAGAGATATGCATTTTAAAAATTATTTTTAGGAGAAAGTTACTGTTATGAGCACCATTAATCCAACTAAGGACCTATTGGCTGACTTGATTGGGTGCCAGAGACTTCCTGAAGACCAACGTAAAAAAGTACACCAGCTAAAGGACTTGTTGGACCAGATTCTGATGTTGGACCCAGCTAAACGAATTAGCATCAACCAGGCCCTACAGCATGCCTTCATCCAGGAAAAAATTTAAACAAGATGAAGAAACTCCCAAGGGTTTGAGTAAATACAAAGACTGAAGAAATTTCACAGCAGTTTATTAATGTATATAAACTTATAAATATTTCTCCAGCAAATTTGAGGCAGCATGATATATTTGAATTAACACCAAGGGTGATACTTCTTTTAGAAATGTTAGTTAATCTGTTTTGTGTCTTAACGTGAAATTTCACTGTAGAACTGTTTTAAATTGCCAAGACTGCACAAAATTACAGTGCTAATGTATATGGTTGCAGTTCACATAAAGACAGAAGCATCTGTGATAAAATGAGTAGTAATATTGGGTGGTTGATTTGTTCTTAGCAGACTTGGCTTCATTTTGGTCTTCAGATAAAATGGCCAGCATAAATGCTGTTTATATTCACGTTTTCCTAGGTGTGTGTGTGCAGGCCACAGCAGCATGCCCTTGGTGTAGTCAGTGCCGAAAGGGGTCTGTTCCTTCTTGAGCCTGCCTGCAGGGATGGTCTCCTTTTAAAGCAGGTTGTGTGCAGCATTCAGTACACTGAAGGTAAGCTAAACCATCAACATCTCTGGTGTTTTAAGATGTTATTTTATTGGAACAACTGACAAATGAGGGATGTTAGCTTTGTGGCAGAATTCCCTGCATGTGTGATAACTGATCTTGTTTTATTTTTTGGCATTGCAACTGTGGCATAGTTACAATTTCTGTTTGTTCATCGCATTTAAAATTGGAAGAGAACGCGCTTGATGGATAGAGCGCCTTCAGTGTACTGTTTCTTATTAACTTTACTTTTTTAAAATCAACTTGCTATAGACTTTATATACATTTTGTTAAATACAGTTCCTAGTGACCTAGAAATGATGCGTAGTTTTCATTTACTAATTACAAATGTTGAGGCCTAATTCTGAAAGTCCTCATATTTAAAGGCTAGATAGACAACGTAATGAAATTTTTAACTATTTGTATGTCATTTTGAAAGTGTACTGCTTTATGGTAAAAGTGTTTTTCATTTGTTCATTGTTTTCATTATTTGTGATCATGTTGTCTTTCAATACAGGCATAAACCTTCCACTCTTGAACAAAGCAGCTGCTTTTTAAAAGCGGTAATTGCTTCTTTACCTTTTATTTCTTTTGTAAATGAATCTTTTCTTTAAGAATGTGACTTTAAAGTGTTGTCTATTGCATAAAACAGTTGACACTCACTTATTGTAAAGTGAAGATTGTTCTACTGCATGTGAAGTGGACCATGCAGATTTCTGTATGTTCTCAGTATGCATCACTAGATAATAAAGTCTTTTGTGAACAAGGCATTTGTAGCCATTTTTAAAAGTTTTTGTCTTCAGTGCTGGTAAATCAGGTAAACCATAAATAGTTAAAAGCAACCTTTTGTTTTTTTTCCTGAAAATTTTTAATTGAAAGTATTATTAGTTAAAGATGTAAACCTAGCCAAAATTATCAGTTTATTATTAATTAGGATCCTAATTATTTCAAAAAGTCCTACAAATTATTGTCAGCTTTCAGTGTAGTGAGATTATTCCTGTAGGTTATGGGGTATAATTCAGGATTTAACTAATGTTTCTGCTATTTTCTCACTTTTCCTTTTGATGGTGCGGAAAGAGAAAAAGGAAAACGGGGCACAGGCCATTCACCGCCTTCTCCAAGGGGTCTGATTTGCTGAGACACCAGCTTCACCTTCTTAACAAGGTTATTTCTGACAGCATGTGTAGATAAACATTTAGCAACAATTTAAGACAAAATCATGTAAATCAGCTTGGTTTTGCAACACAGAGGAATTTGTATTATTAACATGGTAGAAGAGAATTTTCAGAAGTGTATGTAATCTTTTCTGTTTGGGGGGTAAAATTAATGCTCGTCTCCCTAAAGAATATGGAAAATAATCAGATTTTAGGGGTTTAAATAATATTTTTAAATTGTAAATGGGATTTTTTTATTCACCCAGGCACCTAATTACAACAAGCATGCACATTTTGGTGCATTCAAGAATGGAAAATCAGAATAGCAGCATTCTTCTGGTGGGTTTTGCTCCATTTAAAGACATGAAATGAACTACAGCCAGGAAGGTGATAGATGATATAATAAGCCACCTCTGAACCTACACCCCGTCTCTTCACGGTTTAGACTTACTAAAATAAATACAAGGTGATTTTCATCTTCAGGTAGAGTGAAGCCTTTTAAATAAGGCGTCACAGGTGCAGCTATTCTATCTTAATGAAATGGGTAGTGATTTTCCCACCATTATTTATTTTGGTGATAATATGCTGCATATTCAAGTCTCTTGTAGTTATTTTCACTCAAAGTAGTTGACAATTTGATGCTTCTGGTGATGTGTATGGCTTCATTTTATATAATTTTTTAAGTAAGTTCCACTAGAAACAGTTCATCTTATACCTTCAAAACTATTACTTGTTCTTTAAAAAACAAAGTTGCTTGTTACTTGTTCTTTGTGTTTTAGGTGCAGCTCAGTGGAAGATGATGACAGCCAGAAGACATGAGCTAAGGTTTCTGTCCTATAAAAGATTCATTAAAAAAGAATCCTTCATTTAGTTTTTGTCTGATTTTTTAGTTTTCAGCACTGTGATTGGGTTTTATTAGTGTTTGGTATTTAGAATAGTGGTGCTATTGTGGTGTTCATCTGTAAAGTGCTTGTTTTATCATACTTCCTGCCTCTTCCCCTCCTCTCCTAAAATAAAAACAGTAGTCAACTTTAGTGATATACAAGGCTGTTGGGTGATGAGATTCCACATAACACATGGTTGTCAAAATTGGATCTTAAAAACAGCGGCCACCAGAAGAGCATATATCTAAAAGTTAGTCTTCAGCTTTTAGGCAGATGCAAAAGAATAGAAACTGGAATATTAAGAATACTGCTCAACTCCTCTAGTATCTATTCCCCAACTTACCCTTTAGTAACCTTGTTATTAATTAGTGTTCTAGCCTTAAAGTAGAGAAAATATTTAGAGCCACTGTTAGCTTTTCTTAAGGGAAATGAAAAAGATGATACTGTGGATTTTTTTTATACTCCATAATTTAGCATATCTAAACTACCTATTTGAAAGGAACCCTATAAACTGTCTTATGTACATATACATGATTTTCTTACCATCTGTAATTTTGCTGAGGGGCAGTTGAGAACTCTGCAAGACCTACTAGATTGAATTTATTTAGTGAATTCTCCATAATAAATTTGCATTCATCTTTTAGAATAGCTGTATAGTTTTCAAATGTTATCTGTCATGAAGTTTTTGCTTTTATTATACTTTATGGCAAAAATGATAGCAAGTGATTATCAGACTTGAGGGCTCATAAAAGTCTTAGGTATAGCTCTCAAAGATGTCATAGTTTTTTCTAAGATTGGGAGAAGAGTTGAGATCTAGAAATTACAGACGTTTTTAATACTTTGGATAGACTTTATTCTTGAAGGTCATCAGAAATGAGGTTGGAATTTTGAGGTTTTGAGCGGGGGTAGCATTTTATATTCACCCTTAAATCGTTATTACTACATCCCTTTTCTTCATTCCCCAGTAGCTGTCTCATTTCACTCTACCTTCTCAAAATTTTGTTTTAAAATAGAAACTTTTTGCCATTGTTAATAAGTACTACTTTATTCCTAACAAGAATAAGTACTCAGGACATTTTTTTCAATATGAAATATTTATATAATGTTGTATGGTATGTGGTAAAAGAATTGAATTGTAATGTTCTCAGTTTTGTTCCATATTTGCATTCCTCTTATGCTTTACCTGTATTTCTTCATTTGTAAGCAAAATTCTAGCTATATGGGTAAAAGTAAAATCTCTGAGATGAAACAAAGGAACCATACATAATAAAATTTAGGCCAAGTAGTTAAGAAATGGCCCGTTTGAATGTTTGAGATAGGAAAGAAGCCATATGTTCAAATGTGTCATTTTCCTCCCTTAGTTATAATGACATCTTTACCAATTGGGCTCATAAATGTGTTTCTTTCTTATTTGTATTCTAGTTCCAGTATATTTTTAACATGAATTTTATCATTCTCCTCCTATTGGAATGTCCTCCTTATAGAAATGTCCACGACAAATTCATTTATATTTTTTACATGTCAATAATATATGCTAAATTAACTTCAAAATGTTTTCCGGTTTTTCTGATAGATGTCATTATGGCATCCTTAATTTTTCTTCTCCTGTGTATAGGATAAGGGACTGTTCTGAAGAACCTTTCCATTTAGTGACCAAGATATGGAAGCTGATTTCTGAAAATGCTCAGTGTATATTCTAATTATTTGTGGGACCGTTTGAATTGTAACTTGCATTTTAGCAGTGCATGTTTCTAATTGACTTATTGGGAACTGAATAAAATATGCCTCCTATTATCATACTGTCTCCTGGTTTTTTTCTTTGCTTGAGTTCAGATTTTCCTCACACATATCAAAACATTTTTAAAGCATTAAGTGCAGAACACCAAAGGATGTATTATTATATTCATGTTTCCTGTTACATACATTTCTGCTTTGGTTTTCCTAGTAATGGAAACATAGATAAGTAATGAGCCAACTCCCTTTTTTATAATAAAAATAAGTTGGTTCATTGCCCACATGATAGCTTGACAAATCTTGGGCTCTTATCCTCAGTCTGCCCACTCTTTATTTTCTTCTTTTAAGGAACTGTTTTCGGCTTTCAAAACAGTGAGTAAAATAATTAAGACAGTGTAGTTTAAGAATTTTAGTGCATGCAAAGCAGGATTGGAGAATGGCAGTCAGACTGGCTTTATAGAACATACCCACCCACTCACCCAGTTGGAGCTAACTACTGCAGAGTGGCAGGTAGACGCTAGTCTGGTTGAGTCCTGGCTTTCTAAGAAATGGTCGGGCCAGGCACGGTGGCTCACGCCTATAATCCCAGCACTTTGGGAGGCCGAGGCGGGTGGATCACGAGGTCAAGAGATCGAGACCATCCTGGTAAACAAGGTGAAACCCCATCTCTACTAAAAACACAAAAAGTTAGCTGGGCATGGTGGCTGGTGCCTGTAGTCCCAGCTGCTCGGGAGGCTGAGGCAGGAGAATTGCCTGAACCCAGAAGGCAGAGGTTGCGGTGAGCCGAGATCGTGCCATTGCACTCCAGCCTGGGTAACAAGAGCAAAACTCCGTCTCAAAAAAAAAGGTCAGATGCCACTGGCTCTATTTAGTCCTCATGTAAAGGCCCCAGTTATAATTTCCTTGGACTGCACAACCATCTAAAGCGGCTATGAGGCCATTGTATTCAGCACATTTTAGGGAAAATAGTACACAGGGTGTATTGGTTGAGGATCTTTCACACATACTTTTTTTTTTTTTTTTTTTGAGACGAGTCTCACTCCATTGCCAGGCTGGAGTGCAGTGGTGCAATCTTGGCTCACTGCAACCTCTGCCTCTTGGGTTCAAGTGATTCTCCTCCGTAATCCTCCCAAATAGCCAGCATTACAGGTACCTGCCACCACACCTGGCTAATTGTATTTTTAGTAGAGACAGGGTTTTGCCATGTTGGCCAGGCTCGTCTTGGAACTCCTGACTTCAGGTGATCCACCCTCAGCCTCCCAAAGTGCTGGGATCTACAGGTGTGAGCCGCTACACCCGGCCACACATACTTTCTCTGATTAAAGATTCAACCTCATGAAGATCCAGTGAGCTGAGAACTATGAATGACTGGAGAGCTAAACATGAGAATTTGGGAGCAAACCAAGTTAAATTTTCCTGAACAGTTTTTGTTACAAACTGCCTTTAAAGACAATGGTGGATGTTGACTTCCATCAGGTATGAAAAATAACCAGATATGTTGTATTTTTTCATGTCTCAAGTTTTGTCCACTACATACGTGGACAAGGGGGTCTCACTTTACCTGTTTGAACCAGGTCTTTCCCCCCATCAGTCTACAGGATAAACCTGAGATGATACATCTCTAATCCCTACAAAACTCACCGCTTCTAGTCCCATCTCCTATGCCCATTCCCACGCCTAGTCTCACTGAAAGAGTTTGTGTCTTTGTTGCACCATACCACTTCCCTGTGCCTTGGCACATGCCTTGCAAGAAATAGGACATTTGTTTGTTAGGAATCAATTGTTCCTGCACCTAACTAGTGCCAAGGAGGTTCATTCTCGAGGTGGCATGCCCTCCTGTGTCATTCTTACTTCCCTAATGTATTTTGTGTTTGCTATACGACAGGCACTTTGGCTCCTAGCCACTTAACCCTCGTGATTATGTGAGATAAAGACAGTTTACCCACTTCACGCATCAGAAAAGTGAAGCAAGAGAGGTTAAGGAAACTGCTGAAGGTGTTAGAGGTGTTCAGTGGCAAGAGTCTGGGTTTGAATTTAGACAGCCTGGCAACAGCTAGTGCTTGTAACCACTATGTCATGCATGAAAACTGGTCAGTCAGTCCTGCCAGGATACAGTGGTGAGAAAAACAGGCATGTCCTTTTTGAAGGTTTTAGGAATAAAAAATTAACATCATGACCTTGGAGGTGAGGGGAAGAATCCAGGTAGCTAAGCAAGGTAGAAAAGAGAACGGATTCAGACAGCTTGTCAAAAAGGTTCAGTACACAAGTTAGAAGGAATTATTTGAATTAAAGATGGTTGGTGGGAAACAGATCATTGAGAGCTGGAATTTAGTGAAAATATAAGTCCATTTTGGCATATACTTTTATGAGAGGGATATTATATCACTTTGGATTGAGACTAATTGTATGGGATACAGGTAAAATTTTATGCTAAGGGAAGCTAATCAATTATGTTTGTTTTCTATTGCTATGCTATGTGATTCTAGAAAATTCTTTGAAATTAAACTAAAAACTAAGATGCTGCCTGTGTTCCCTGCCTCTAAGAAAACTATCTGAGCCTTAAGCTACTAAAGCTGGAAAAGAAAAGCTACAGTTGTTCTCTTCAGCGTTTATTTGAATTATCCATTAATTCACTCATCCCTAACTCAAATATTCCATCTCATTTGGAGGGATGATACCCAAAAACTCAGTGGCTGTCTTTTGTGTGGGGGAGTTAGGGGGTGGGGAGGCCTTTTACTTTTTTTTTTTTTTTTTTTGAGACGGAGTCTTGCTCTGTTGTTCAGGCTGGATGGCACAATCTTGGCTCACTGCAACCTCCACCTCCCTGGTTCAAGCAATTCTCGAGCCTCAGGGTCCCAAGTAGCTGGGATAACAGGCACCCACCACCACACCTGGCTAATTTTTGTATTTTTAGTAGAGACCGGGTTTCACCATGTTGGTCAGGCTGGTCTTGAACTCCTGACCTTGTGATTCACCTGCCTCAGCCTCCCAAAGTGCTAGAATTACAGGTGTGAGGCACAGCACCCAGCCACCTTTTATTTTTCATTTGGTACCTTTGGGCAATAGTTGAAGTTTCAATGGTGTATTTTTTTTTAATGTTCTAAAAAAATTAATTTGAATTCACCACCCACTTAAAACCAAAATATACCCCAAAATATCTCAACCTCTGATGTAGGTACGTTACATCAGCCCTTTCCCTTACATCTTTCAAAGTGTGATTCAAGAATGACCTCCATTAAAATTATTAAAATCACCTGGAATGTTTGTTTATCATGTGTGTCCATGAGTGAGTCCCACTTCCAAAGATTGTGTTTCAGAGGGCCTGCGATAGAAGCTAGGACTCTATATTTTTTCCTTGATTCTGAGGTGCAGTTAAGTTTGTCAGTCATGTAGTTTTCCTTTTACACTAGTTAATGAGTTCCGTGTTGGCTGAATGAGTTTCAACTAACCAGCCTTAAGACTTCCAGCAGTGCAGAGCCTTGGAAAAAATTCTAGTGACATTTTGGCTGCTCTGTGGACAGTGTTCTTATCCAATCTTTCCTTCAACATTTAAAAAATATTGGGTCTGAGTGGAAGGGGGTTACTTCATGCCCAAACCTGTAGTTGGGGCCCCAAAGAGAACCTATCTTTCATGTATATGACAAAGAAAGGCCTGGAACAGAAAATTTCTAAGGGTTTGGGAGGAACTAGAAGATCTTGTACATTAATAAAAACAACTTTAGCTTTTAAGGGCCAAGTAAATGCTCAAAGGATAGGTCAAAATGATAGATCTGTGGAGATGAGGGCAGAGGAAAAAAAAAAGGATACCAGAGTGGGAAAGACTTTTTGAAAAAATCAGCTCTTATGACTATATAACAATACAATAAAAGAACTACAGCTGTGATAAGTCGATTATGCCATTTATTGATGGAATTGTACTGGAAAACGATCACTGATAAAAAGAATAGCCTTTTGAATAGAATAGTCTACTAAATGAACCATTTCTTTGAAACACAAATTGCAAAAGATTGTCAAATGTATCAATATAGAAGCCTGTGGGTTTATATATAGACATCCCAGCAGTGCTTTTCATCAGTTGCACTCCATAGCACATCAAGCAACTGTTTGGTTTGATTTTTTTAAAATAATACCTGTGTCTTGAAATAATTAACCATATCTTAGTTGGGCTTCTTAGAATAGATCTCTTCACATTGAGATATATGAAAGAAAAGAGTTATTTCTGGTCAGTGGGTGAGCACTGATCCTTAGCAATAAAGGAAGGCGACCAACAGTTTAGCTTCTGAATATAGAATGGTCTATTCAACACTATATTTTGTCGGTAAAGTTTCTTTTTGGTTCCAAAGTTTCTCTTCGGTGCCTTAATTTCCTTCTGATTTTCGGGAAAAGACAGAAGTATAGGTGAAACTGGCATTGGAGACCTCGATGGCAGACGTCTTGTGGAGACCCTTTTAACCAGTGATTGAGTTGTCTGGCCAGCAGTAGGCGATTGAGTTGTCTGGCCAGCAGTAGGCTTGGATGAGAGTTCTTGGCATGGATTTAAAATAGAACTTTTGGGATTCTTATCATCATAAGTTGCAATCAATTGTTTTGTGGTGGAAGAACTTTTTAGAGATGATGGTCTAGAATGCCATCTGTGTTTGCCAGCATTGCTCCAATTCCATTTTAAAGAATTCTGCTCAAGCTTGCAAGAACCAGAATTGTTTTTTCTTTTTTCTTGACTTTTAGCCACACAAGGTATCTGAAGACTCAAAGAATCACAGGGTTTTGGCTGTCTCACTTTTGGTGTAACTTTGGAGGAAAAGGGTCGTTCAGTAACTGCTGGAGTACAGAGAGTAGTTTGTAGTCTGGGCCTCTCTTTTTGGATAGTCATATGTTGTAATCTTTCCAGTTCCAGTAAACGAGTTATCAAGTGTTCAAGAGAGCTTTCTGCAGGTTCCACTGTCGCTTTCCAATTTTCAGATTTTGAAAGGGCTAAATTGTGCAAGTCTAGAGTACTGAAAGGAGGAGGGAGAAAATCAGGATATGGAAATACTTCATTTGGCTCCTCAGTGAAAGGTTCTTCAACATTTTCTATTGTTTCTGGTTTCAAGTTGAGGTCCATCTTTTCAAAATAGCTGAGTAAAGTATCATTTGCTTTCTCATTTTCTGATAAATCACTTTCATCTGTTAAATTTTCTTCCACACTGCTGTTTCCATGTTTCAAATTCCAATTTGGAGCAGGTAAAGTTTCACCATCGTTGTTTCCTATAGTTGAACATGAACTAATATGAATCTCATTTCTGTTCTTAAAAAAGTCTCCATCAGCATAAGACCAGCAGACACCTAATGGCCCTGGCAGTCCAGGGTAAGGACCAACTTGCTTATCAACTGAAGCACTTGTTAATGAGTGATTCGGAGTGAAGACCCTTATACGATTATTGGTTACATTAAAGCCAGTTTCCATGGAAGATTTTTTGAATTCCCTTTAAAAAATAATTTAATCAATGAATGGTTTATTGACTAGAATTAAAATGCTATTAAAATGATATGGTTAAGTACCCTTTATCAAAGATTGGTTAATGTTTAGTTCCCAATGGCATGTGTGTATCTAGCTACCTGTAACAGAAATATGTTAGTTTCCAAAAATGCTCTACATACAATTATATAAATTTTTAAAAATTGAGATTAAAATATTAACTTGGCATCCCTTTGTGCAAGCACAAGTGACTAGCTTATGATACCGAAAATGGCTAACTGTGGCTGTGAATAGCCAATAGGCTAAAGTGGCCAACTATATGTTTGCCTATAGTGTACCTGCAATTATGATGTTTGAAAATGAGGATATCTAACTCAAACTGAAATTAAATCGAGATGTTTATTCATCCAGAATTAGACAAAGGAAACTGAAAAATGTAATTAGGTTACTTTAAAAAGCCTTCTATGTTAGCCACTGTGGTTTTTTAAAATCCCTGTAACAAAAAAAGGAAGCAAACAATGTCTATCAAAAATTGTCCCAGAAGAAGTCTTCTAGCTAGTCCTAATGCAGATAAAGTTTAAGAAGCAAAACATAAGAATTAAAACTCAGGTACGGTTGGGTGCAGCAAACCACCATGACACATGTATACCTATGTAACAGACCCGCACATTGTGCACACGTATCCCAGAACTTAAAGTAAAAAAAAAAAAAAAACTCAGGGAAGGTCTGAGAAGCGATTTACTGTCCTGTCTATGAGCCTGAACCAGGCTCTTTTCATATCCTGGTTCTACCATTCCTTAATACTGTGTGACTTTGAGCAAGTTACTTAACTTGTCACATACCTCAGTGTCCTCATCTATAAAACAGGGATGATGATAACAACCTTCCTTATATGGTCGGTTGTGAGTTAAATTAATTACTACATATAAAAAATTAACATAGTCCCTAGAATGGGGTACTACTTTTCTATTACAGTTCCTTTTCCTTTCAATGGGAAGTCCATATTTTATCCATCAAAAACCTTCATTGTCAAAGCATGGTAAACTCTTGACTCTTACCTGTTCTTTTTTTTTTTTTTTTCCCTGAGGCAGAGTTTTGCTCTTGTACCCCAGACTGGAGTGCAATGGCACAATCTTGTCTCACCACAACCTCCACCTCCTGGGTTCAAGTGATCCTCCTGCCTCAGCCGGCATGCACCACCACATCCAGCTAATTTTGTATTTTTAGTAGAGACAGGGTTTCTCCATGTTTGTCAGGCTGGTCTCGAACTCCTGATCTCAGGTGATCTGTCCACCTTGGCCACCCAAAGTGCAGGGATTACAGGCGTGAGCCACCATGCCCAGCCAACTCTTACCTATTCTAATTGTCTTGTGGTATCTGCAGCCACCTCCTGTTTTAGGGTGGATTTCTATAAGTGCCCATCATTCCCACAGAATACATTTTTGTATTTCAAATAGTTGTCTTGTCTGTATTTAAATGTATTTCAGTAGGGTGTTACAAAATAACTATTCACTTACCTGTTCTCTATGGTACTTCCTTCATCAAGAGGACAGTTCCATAATTGAAATACCCCTTGCCTACTATTCTGATGATAGAAAAATCATGGGTAATAGTTTAGTAGCTGCATATATTTTTAAAATATAATATTTTAAGGGTCTGATAAATAAAATCCCACCTGTATGCTTTTTTGAGTATGCACCGACAAATTAGGTTCTAGCATCAGTTGGTCTACTGGAATTTCCAAATAGTTCTATAAGGCAGCAGAAGATTTTTAAACATAAATTTATTTGTTTGCTATTCTTGTTTTAAGAATGTATAGTTCTTGTTCTAATCAAGGAATATCTAGTAAAATTGATACTTCATTTATATATAAAGAAATAATTTATTTTTACTGATTTCAGAAGAAATTAGTATAACTGATTTATTATAAATACCAACTAAACTGTTAACTAATAAGCCTTGAATACCATTAAGTTTGTCTTTATTTTGCAGTTAAATGTTTTATGTTTTGATCAAAAAGGATAAACAAAAAGAATAATTTTCCACTACTTCAGGACAAGATATTGGTTATTTCAACTACGTGAAGATTTTGTTGTTGCTGCTGAGACAGAGTCTCGCTCTGTACAGGCTAAAGTACAGGCATGTGATCTTGGCTCACAGGAACCTCTGTTTCCTGGGCTCAAGCAATTCTTCTGCTGAGCTCAGCCTCTCGAGTAGCTGGGACTACAGGCATGTGCCACCATGCCAAGCTAATTTTCTTGTATTTTTGGTAGAGATGGGGTTTCACCATATTGCCCAGTCTGATCTTGAATTCCTGACCTCAAGTGATCCACTCGCCTCAGCCTCCAAAGTGCTGGGATTACAGGCATGAGCCACTGCGCCCAACCTGCTTCAAGACATTTTAAAGGATGGGACTACTTCCCTTTGGCAACGACTAAAAAACACTATACTCAATTTTCCTTTAGAGTATCATTATACTGAAAAATACTTAATATAACAAAATATCAATTTAATAACCAATTTGAAACTCTGTAAAATAATAAAGGCTTTAACTTGCATGAAGAACTCTACAGAAATGAAATTTAAAGTTTAACTTTCAGGAAGGAAATTTTTTAAAGAACATACTTATAATTTAAAAATAATATGCTTTATGAATACTTCAATACCAAACATTTATCCTTACCTTGTTAATTGTGCCTGAAAGAATGTGTATAAAAATGACAATAGTTACATAAAACTGGTTATATGCAGTGAGCCGCGATCATGCCACTGCACTCAAGCCTAGGCAACAGAGCGAGACTCCACCTCAAAAACAAAAAAACCCTTTAATGAGTGATTATTTCAGTATAAGTATACACATCTAGGCTTTCTTACCACCTGCTGCACTATCCTTCCAGCTGCGAGGCTTTTATGTTCAGGAGCAGGTACTTCTGAATCCAAATTCCAGTGATGTAAGTTCTAAAACAATGTTTTAGGACAAACTTAACATTAAGAAAACATAAAAAGCTCAATAATTTTACATATTCTTTGGGTAAAGTATGAGAAAACACATAAAGCTTCATGACTCTCCCCACCTCATTATAAATAACTTATCAGCATCTTTGAGGAGAATGCAGTTTTCTCTTATCAACCCTTATCAGCTTGATAATACCTGTTGAGGAATTGGAAAGGCTTTATTTTTTTTCATTCATTCATTCATTCATTCATTCACAGGAGAGAAGGAGGAAGGAAGGAGGGCAGAAAGGCTCTTACAGTAATTTGTGGTTTCATTCATTTTGTTAAAAATAATGACACACAGGTTTTCAAAACTGATTTCTAAAATGTAATAAAATGTCCTGTGCAGTGTGTCTCTGGAACACAATGGTACATTCATCAAACTTTCTGTATCTGAGTACCCGATAGAAAAGCCTATAAAAGGCTGGGTGCAGTGGCTCATGCCTGTAAACCCAGCACTTTAGGAGGCCGAGACAGGTCAGGAGTTCAAGATCAGCCTAGCTAACATGGTGAAACCCTGTCTCCAATAAAAGTACAAAAATCAGCCAGGTGTGGTGGCACATGCCTGTAATCCCAGCTCAGGAGGCTGAGGCAGGAGAATCACTTGAACCCAGGAAGTGGAGCTTGCAGTGAGCCGCAATCACTCCACTGCACTCAAGCCTAGGCAACAGAGCGAGACTCCATCTCAAAAAAGAAAGAAAGAAAAGTAACTTTTTAGGAATGAACCCAGTTGTTTTCTGTCTCAAATAAGAAAAGCTTTGTCAATTAAACTCTAAGCAAATGAAATATTAGGTATTATTAGATACAAGCTCTTCACTAAGGAGGAACAGGGAGAAATAAGCTTCAATAGAGCATGAGGATTTAATTTATCCACAAAGAGTTATCTCCTGATTAGAAGGGTAGTTGAACATTGGAAGAAAGGCTACAGATTATCTTTCTCTGTAGATTTATGAAAAATATAATTAATAAAATTAATTCTCTGCTCTCTGGCATGATATGTACAAGGGCTACCTCTACATGAGAATCATCTGGGGAGCTTTTTAAAAATAATAGTAGCAAAGAAATACTACAAAATCTGATTTTAAAGAATGAGGGTGAGGGACAGGTGTGGCTCACACCTGTAATACCAGCATTTTGAGAGGCCAAGGTGGGCAGATCACCTCAGGTCAGGAGTTCGAGACCAGCTTGGCCAACATGGTCAAACCCCATCTCTATTAAAAATATAAAAATGAGCTGGGCATGGTGGTGGGCACCTGTAATCCCAGCTACTTGGGAGGCTGAGTCAGGAGAATCACTTGAACCTGGGAGGTGGAGGATGCAGTGAGTTGAGATTGGACCACAGTGTTCCAGCCTGGGAGTCAGAGCAAGACTCCATCTCAAAAAAAAAAACCAAAAACCAGGAATGAGGGCGAGGCCCAGCTGTTTGTATTTTAAGGACCCTTTTGTAGTTCATAGCATGATGCCTGGGTTTTCATGTTCATGTGTGAGATGTGCCCCTTCAAACTTTTTCATGATATCTGGTGGATTTTTAAGCTTTCTTCAGCTATATAATCCTGCTATCCTTGTATGAAATGCACATGTGAGAGAAATATCCTCAGTTGACGAAATTGTGCTGTTGCAATCATACAATAAAATTAACATAACCAGGCTGGGCACAGTGGCTCACACCTGTAATCCCAGCACTTTGGGAGACTGAGGCAGGCAGATCACTTGAGGTCAGGAGTTTGAGACCAGCCTCGCCATCATGGTGAAACCCCATCTCTACTAAAAATACAAAAGTTAGCCAGACGTGGTGGCACACGTTTGTAGTCCCAGCTACTCAGGAGTTTGAGGTAGGAGAATCGCTTGAACCTGGGAGATGGAGGATGCAGTGAGCCAAGATCACACCACAGCACTCCAGCCTGGGAGTCAGAGCAAGACTCAGTCTCAAAAAAAAAAATCAACATCACCAAATTGATCAACTGGTAAAGAAGGCTTATTAACTAAACATAAAGTCTGAGAGTTTGTAAATTTCTTAAGAGTTGGGACTTGATTATACTTTTTGATATCCCACCTGCCTTATAATATTTTTCACAAAGCAAGTGTTTGAAAACAAAAGTGAGCAGCTGCCTGGTTGATAACAAGGTAGCACCTTTAACAAAGCCAAGTTGCAATCAGAAATGTCTGACATTTGGAGAAGAGCTGGCTAATTTTCCCTTTGTTAAAAGAAATACAAAATTTCCATTTGCTGGTCCAAATGTGCCAAGAAGAAAACACAGGATAAACTGCTCACGGTGCAAAAGCAGCAAGGGCATCACTGCAAAACTCCTTGGGAGTCATGTCTTGACAACAGGAGCTGCTGTCCAAACACTCAAGTTCGGCACCTGCCATACCTCGTGAGAGACGTTTGACACACGTAGGCTGTTGCCACAGTTCTCATTTCTTCTTCCCATTTTGCTGTAGCTGCTCCTCTGTTTCCTTAAAATCCTATACAGATTGTAGGACAGGTACATTTATGGGTAAGGGTCAACATTTATAAAAAAGAAAGGAAGTGTGAGTTTTGATTTCCCATTTAAGGAGGCAAGAGAACGCTTAGATAGTAGAAAGGGGGGCGGCTAGGATAGCAGGGTGCGGGTGACAGTTTGAAACCTACCAGAAACAAGGGGCAAGCCTGACCCAAAACGAGCACAGACAGAGCAAACTGGCAGATCTCAGAACAGAAGATTAGGAAATTGAGGTCAAAGTGAGAAAGCAAGTAGCAGATAAGAAGATAAAATACAAATAGCAACAAGCAGAACTTAGAAAACAGGGGCACAGAATCTCCTTTTAATCATTCAAAACAATGGCTCCATTTGAAAGCAGGGTTAAACCCTTTCAACTAGGCCAGGCAAGCATCCATGCATGTTTCAGAGACACCAAAACGCCCTCAGGACCAAACAATATTTTCCACACCAATCGATCAAGGTGCTTAAAACACCCATTAAATCAAGGGAAAAGATTTAGAGAACTAGGCTGGGCACAGCGGCTCACGCCTGTAATCCCAGTACTTTGGGAGGCCAAGGTGGGCGAATCATCTGAGGTCAGGAATTCGAGCGGGCCTGACCAACATGGAGAAACCTGTCTCCACTAAAAATACAAAATTAGCCTGGCATGGTGGCGCATGCCTGTAATCCCAGCCGCTCGGGAGGCTGAGGCAGGAAATCACTTGAACCTGGGAGGTGGAGATTGCGGTGAGTCGAGATTGTGCCATTGCACTCCAACCTGGGCAACAAGATCAAAACTCCATGTCAAAAAATAATAAAAATAATAATAAAAGAATTAGAGAATTATAAGGTAACAAGCAAAACAGTCACTGGATTAAGGTATGGCTATCTGGAAAGAATCACAAATTAAAGTAATTCGTGTAAAGGAGTAATCGGCCTATCTGCTAAGTTTACAATTGATTGTCTTATACGGAAAGGTATAGGAAAAAATGGGAGATTACTTCCGCGAGGTTTTCAGCCAACACTGGTACTGGTCCACAGGCTGTGTGTATGTCAGACACTGTGTTTGAATGCAGTAGGAAGGCGGCTGCTGAGTGGGTGGCACTGCCTGGGGTCCCAGGTGTGTGCCATGGAGGAGGGCATCCAGCGCCTGGAGGACGCCCCTGGGGACAAAGGACACCTTTCTTGGGGACTAAGAGTCTGGGGACCGGAGCTTCAGGGGCAGGACTGCGGGAAGGTGCGTGTTTCAAGTGAGCTGCGAGGCCCTCGTGAAGAGGAATCCCCTTTTCCTCCCGAGCCGTGGCCGGGCTGGGTGGGCAGTTCCAGGGATAGCAGGAGGGGGCTACGGGATCCCCGGGCCGTGCTCTTACCCCACCGCGCCGCAGGCCCACGTGTCCTCCCCGGCGTCCTCTCCCAGTGCACCGCCCCGAGGCCCGGGCGCCCCCTCGGCCTCGGCCTTCCTGCAGCGGAGCGACACAGAGGGCGGCGGGCGGACAGCCTCGAACCCAGCCTGGGCGGTGCAGGGCCTGCGAAGCCGGCGGGCCGGCGCAGGGGTGGCAGTCGCGCCCGGGGCCCAGGCCGGGCCCAGAGAACCTGCCAGGGCCAGGGCTGCGGCTCCGCGGGCTTCTCCACAGGCCGGGTCGCCCGGCAACGACCAGCTAGCGGGGGGCACCCGGGGAGGCCCCGCGTTCTACCAGGTCCACCGGTATTCGCGGGCTGTGGGGTCGCCGGCGGCCGCCCAGGCGCGGAGCCTCTCGGGGGTCACCCGGCCGCTGGGCCCGCGGGACGCACGACGCCGCCGGGGCAGGACACCGAGCCTCAGGCCCTGTCCCTGCGCCCCGTCCGGCCCCCTCCAACTCGGCCATCCGGGCTTGGAGGGGCCGCCCAGGGGCCTCGCGCGAAAGCCTGAGCCTCCCCGGGCCTTCCGGAGCCTTCTCAGACTTTCCCCCAGGCGTCCTGGACCTTCTGGTGCCTTTCTGGGCCTCCTTGGGCTCCTTGACTTTCCCGGGGCCTTTTCCGAGGCCTCCCGGTGCTTCCCTGGGCCTCTCCAGGTGAGCTCCGAGAGGCGTCCAGTAGGCCTCTGGCACCCAGGCCTGGCTCACCCGCCTCCGCCCCCACCGCCTGCTCTCACCAAGCCAGGAGCACTGCCCCGTGTTTCTCCAGACTAAGCTAAAATATATACGCGTTGATATACATAAAGTTATATCTATGCTTGTACAATATATTAAATAATTAACACAGAAGAAGCATCTTTGTTGACACCAAGCTCACTACTGGTCAGTTTCAGGTCTGTCATCAGCCTTTCAACAGGAAGAACAAAAGATGTTTTTTTTTTTTTAATGTAGAGGATACATTTAAATCACAGAGCCCAATTTCGTACCCCTGAATGCATATCTCTTATTACAGCTCCATGAAATCAGTGGAGGGTTGGGGGAAGAGTATCTCTCTATCTAGTCAGATATATCTAGATAGCTATCTTCCCCATCTCCAACAGTTTGATAGAAAAATTTAAAACAAAATTAATTATATATGTAAATAAAACTACAACAGATTGATAGATAAATTTTAAACACAATTATATATATAAGTACAGCAAATGAACACTAAACATCATTTTGGGGGGATGAGATCATGGCCATGCCCCTTTGAGAGTCTCCCTGTAAAAATACATTTATTTACCAGATGTTGAACACAATTTCAAGACTGTCTCAGGTCTTTGATCCCTGACTCCTGTCTCTTTCCTCTGCATTTCCATTTTCTCCTCAGAAAGACCTTCCCTTTAAAGAAGACTTTCCCACCCTTTAAAGAAGCCCTTCCCACCTGCCACCTACCTACCTTATTCTATTTCATGACACTCTGTTTCATTTACTTCTTTGTACTCCTCACAGTCTTGCTAATTCTGTTTACTTGTTTGTTTTTGTATTGTCTGTCTCTCCCCAGTAGAATATAAAACTCCATGGGGGCAGGTGCCTTGCCTATATATTTCATTTCTATATCCCCAACCCTTTAAAACTCTGCTGGGCACAGAGTAGAAGCATGATCCATGTAAGTAAATGAACCTCATTCCTTGCAGGTTCCCTGGAGCTTTCCCTCCTAGGCCCTCTTCTCCTTCAGCTGTTCTCCATACTGCTGCTCTAAAATACAGACTTGTTCAATTGCCTCCTAATGCCTCAAGAAGGAAACCCAAATTCTGCAGCCATCCTTTAGGCACCTGCTCACCACCTTTCCAGCACCCACTACATATCAAGCACATCGGACATTGTACAATTTTCCTAAACACTCTCCTCCAGGGCATAAATCAGTTACTCTTCCTATAATAGTACTTCCTTTTTATCTCCTTTTTATTTTTAAATCTGTCTAGTTAAATTCTAGTCATATAGTTCTAACTCACAAGTCATTTTTCTTGACTACTCAGGAAGAGTAAATTGCTAGAAAAAATACAAAAAGAAAAACATGAGTAAATTGCTATCTCCTCCAAGATCCTTACTTCGTTATAATAATTATTCATTTACAATATCTCGTTCTCTTTCAACACCTTGAAGGTGATTATCAGCCCATATTCTATCTAACAGAGTGCCTGGCATGTACTGTAGTAGGTACGGCACTTAATAAATGTTTGAATTGATTTAATTATTGCAATAATAGGATTTTCTGGAATCTATGGTGTGGTGACTATAGGCCAGGCATGGTGCAGAACATTTTATATGGATTAACCAAGGTATATGCTTAATAATCTAATGAAGCAGGTACCACTAATTATTCCTATTATTTATTTATTTATTTATTTTGAGACAGAGTCTTGCTCTGTTACCCAGGCTGGAGTGCAATGATGTGATCTCGGCTCACTGCAACCTCTGCCTCTCAGGTTCAAGCAATTCTTCTGCCTCAGTCTCCCTAGTAGGTGGGATTACAGGCACCCACCACCACGCCTATTTTTTTGTATTTTTAGTAGAGATGGGTTTCACCATGCTGGCCAGGCTGGTCTCAAACTTTTGACCTTAGGTGATTTGCCCGCCTCAGACTCTCAAAGTGCTGGAAATACAGGTGTGAGCCACTGTGCCTGGCCTAGTTATTACTATTTTATAATTGAGGAACCTGAGCCTTAGATGTATTATGTAACCTTTCTCAACTTAAAATTACTAGAAAAATTGTGAATGGGAGTAAATATTGGGGTCCATGTATTCCCAGCTAATGGTTTTTACAAACTTTCTTGAAACAGAAATTATGTGTGCGTGCGTGTGAATTCCACATATCTGGCTTACACATTTCCTGTCTTCTTGCTTTATGTTTCTATGCATGCTTTTTTCTTTTGTTTCAGAACTCAAACTCATTCCTGATCCCTTAGAGTCCTTCTGAGATTTGTCATCCATAAATACCTCCTCTAAGTTCTTTTTTTTAAGACAGGGTTTCACCATGTTGGCCAGGCTGGTCTTGAACTCCTGATCTCAGGTGATTCGCCAGCCTAGGCCTCCCGATGTGCTGAGATTACAGGCCTGAGCTACGACGTCCGGCCTCTTTTTTTTTTTTTTCTTAACAAAACTTATTCTTAAAAATGTTCCTTTAATCTGGAGAACATCATTCTCAGCAAACTGACACAAGAACAGAAAGTGAAACACCGCATATTCTCAGTCATAGGCGGGTGATGAAAAATGAGAACACATGGACACAGGGAGGGGAGTACTAAACACTGGGGTCTATTGGGAGGAAAAGGGGAGGGGCCAGCGGGGGTGGGGAGCTGGGGACGGATAGCCTGGGGAGAAATGCCAAATGTGGGTGAAGGGGAGAAAGGAAGCAAAACACACTGCCATGTGTGTACCTATGCAACTGTCTTGCATGTTCTGCACATGTACCCCAAAACCTAAAATGCAATAAAAAATTAAAAATAATAATAATAATAATAAATCCATTCAGCCACTGTAAAAAAAAGAAAAAAAAATGTTCCTTTCATATTATCACCCCCACTCAAGTGGTCTTCCTTTCTCTGGAGACTTTTGAATGCTTTGGCAACAGCATGAAAATCATGGCTGGCCCTCCCCTCACCGCTAAATGTGCACGGCTCTGGTGGTGTGAAATATAAAAGCAACAACTTGGAAATGGTGCCCTCTTCAAACCTGTGGGTCTGATCTGGCTCTGGCCCAGCATAGGGGGTTGGACAGTGGGTCATTTTCTACAGCAGCTCAGACCTAGCTTAACATCAATCCCAAGGCCAAAGAGAATGCACTTTCCTTCTGTTGGGGCTTGGTAAACAGTACCCCAACTTCAGAAATAGCCTCAGAAGCAAAAGTTTTTCTCTGATCTTCTGCCCTCCTTTCTCTCAGTCCCAGTCTCCCTCCAAGGCTAACCAGAGAAATTAGAATCCCTCTTCTCCAATGCAGGTTACAGAAATCAGAATGGTTTTTCCCCAAAGCCAGCCATAAAACCTTGAAAGATTACTCCAATTTTCCCTTGGCCTTTTCTGTGTAAAAACTAGCCATAAAGAAATTACCTGACCTACCTTGTTTGACTGTAGGTCATAAGACCCCCATTTCAGAGAGGGCCCTGCCCCATATCCAGAAGGAAGGAATGCTGCTCAGAGAAGCCAAGAAGAATCTAGATAGACAGGCCTTGCTGGGTTCCCCCACTCAGGCTATTAGCACCAGATCAGACCTTTTTTGTCCAATCATCTTTCTACACAACTGCCCATACTTTGTTGAACCTAAGCATAAACGTGGAGACTCTCCCCTCTATTTCTCAGTTTTCATTCTGTACGCTCCCATGTGTACACACATGCTAAATATATTTGTATGCCTTTTCCCCAGTTACTCTGCCTTTTGCAAGTTGATTTTTCAGCAAACTTCAGAGAGCCAAGCCCTTAGCCCTTACGCCTACAGCGATCTCATGGCCATGCTGAGGATTCAGTTTTTAGCAGTATTCTCAGCTCGCCTTACTTTAAACCTGCACCTCCTTAGCTGATCCCAAGTGAAACCATTCTTCCATAAACACAGTAGGATGAGGCAGATGCTCTCTATCTCAGGCATTTAACAAGCTCTTAAGTTAATTACAAGGGAGGCAGGCTAAGAAGACAAAGGCAAGCTTTGGGCCAGTTTGTAAGTAGTCCAGTAAGCACAGCTTGCTGCCCACCTCAGTTTCTCCTCCTATAACAAAGGCCATGACATTGACTACCACATAACTACTTTGGAAAGTACCTTGACGTACATTTCTTTTCATTGTCCTGGGTTATGCAAAGACGTGTCAGTAGCAAGATTACTTAGTTTCTAATTATTCTGGAGAGAAAAGTCTTCTTTTTCAGTCTACCTCCTTCAGTATCTTTCATGTCTTGATATTACCCATGCATTTGCCCTCTCACTCTTTGTTTTTCTTTTTTATTTTATTTTGAGACGGAGTTTCGCTCTTGTTATCCAGGCTGGAGTGCAATGGCTCGATCTCGGCTCACTGCAACCTCCGCCTCCTGGGTTTAGGCAATTCTCCTGCCTCAGCCTCCTGAGTAGCTGGGATTACAGGCACGCGCCACCATGCCCAACTAATTTTTTTTTTTTTTGTATTTTCAGTAGAGACGGGGTTTCACCACGTTGACCAGGATGGTCTCAATCTATTGACCTCGTGATCCACCCGCCTCGGCCTCCCAAAGTGCTGGGATTACAGGCTTGAGCCACCGTGCCCGGCCTGTTTTTCTTTTTAGAATTGCCAAGGTCATGGCTAATCCCACTCTTTCGCCCAGGCTGGAGTGCAGTGGTGTGATTTTGGTTCACTGTAATCTCTGCCTCCCAGGTTCAAGTAATTCTCCTGTCTCAGCCTCCCAAATTGCTGGGACTACAGGCACATGCCACCATGTCTGGCTAATTTTTTTATTTTTAGTAGAGATGGGATTTTACCCTATTGGTCAGGCTGGTCTTGAACTCCTGACCTTAGGTGATCCACTCTCCTCAGCCTCTCAAAGTGCTAGGATTACAGACTTGAGCCACCACACCCACCCTACAGCAGAATTTTGTTCAATATAATTATTTGAAAGTCAGGACAATATTTTCTAATTAATAATATGCATTTTTGTTCTCAAATAAGATGCTAAGTCAGTGGGAAACATTTCAATTCAATTATGGGCAATTTGTACTTAGCATACGGTTTAGCCATCTAGTCATTTGTTTTGTTTTTCTTTTTTGAGCAACTGCTTTGTCTTTTAGCAGTGGCAAATTTATCCTGATTTAGAACTCTAAATGAGCATTCATCCTAAATATCCTTTCTTGTGTTTGTATAATTCCTTTTTAAGAAATATATATTCAAATATCTATAATTTGAAGTTTTAAAAATTAATCTTTAACACTCTGCTCCCATAGCAATGTCTTATTTGAAAGGCCATCATTTTGTTGGAAAAATATGGGAAATACTGTTTAAAAACTATTTATTCCTGGAACAATGTGATAGTGATGGATATGAACATATTTCCAAAAGGAAGCAAAATAAACACATCAATCAGTGAATTTCACATCTGCATATGTTGCAGCTAGTGCTTTTGAATAAATTCTCAATCATATAATTTCTCCTTTAAGACTTGATTTCTGCAATTTGAATTGCTTCATAAGCCTTTCTATCCTTCAGATGCCTATACTCTGTAACTATATTTTCCTAGCATGTCACAAATTCACTTTAAATTTTGGTTAAAGTTTCAGTGTCAGAACTTACTTTCTGGTGCCAGGAAAGGTATAGCATGGATCCCCTTTCTGGTCGTTAGACCCCTCACACCTCATTTGCTGTGAATGGAACACTTTCTTTAGAATGCTGTCCTTAAAAAACTTGGAGATAATCTCTCTTCGAACATTACTGAACATCTTGCCTTCTGGAAGCCAGCTGATCTTGTCACATGAACCATGGCAGGAGGGAAGGGGAAGGTGTTCAGGAAACAGAAACCATCTTAGGAACAGAAAAAGGAATTGTGTTTACCTAAAAGTCATGAATAAAAGATCAGCCTAACTAGAAAAACAACCCAGAGTCTTGCAGCTGCTGCGCCCCGCGGGATCAATTTAGTTAATAATACACTGCTAGCACCTACGCGGGCTGCTGGCCCAGCGTGCGGCTCTCATCACAAGAAAAGACTTGGGAGAAAATAGTAACATATTAGAAGCCCAGTTTTGAAAAGGTAAATCTATTAGCCAGTGAATAACAGAATTGAAAATAAGAGGAATACCAAACAAAATACAGAATGAAAGCATTTGTTCCATCAAAGAATATTAGCACCATGGGCTGAGATCTGGTTGACTTAGATCAAGATCACGCAGCTGGTTAGCAGCAGAATATTTGCCAAGTGTCATTCATGACTGATGTCTCCCATCCTAAACAGTGTTCTTTAGCCATACTATAATTAGAGAAAATGAATGAGATTGATTCCTAGAAGAAGTGTTATTCATCGTAAAACATATATGTGTGTGTGTGTATATATATATATATATATATATATATATATATATATTTCCATCTGATAGTTTATTTACAAACAAAATTTAGGCCAGGTGCAGTGGCTCACACTTGTAATCCCAGCACTTTGGGAAGCTGAGGCCGGCAGATCACGAGGTCAGGAGTTTGAGACCAGCCTGGCCAACACAGTGACACCCCATCTCTACTAAAAATACAAAAATTAGCTGGGCGTGCTGGCAGGCGCCTATAATCCTAGCTGCTCAGGAGGCTGAGGCAGGAAAATCACTTAAACCGGAAGGCACATGTTGCAGTGAGCCGAGATCATGCCACTGCACTCCATCCGGCCTAGGCAACAGAGCTAGACTCCGTCTCAAAAAAAATAAAACAAATTAATAATTGTGACCGACTTCAGATTTCAGCCAAGGTCAGCATGCATCAGATAACTATAAACATTCCATCAGTTGCTATTGAGAGCAATGACTAAGAATATATGAGTCGATTTACACAGAGTGTAAAGAATTACATTTTAGTAGATCATTTTCTTGGCATGTTGAATGGCTTAAAACATGGTTTGTTCTTTGCTATTTATATAAATGAGGGTTTAGAGGAATGCACTCAACTTTGCTTGAAAGAAAGAAGCTGGGGATATGTCTTCTAGCTGCCAGAATATTCTACACCCCTTCTCCCCACCAAAAACACCTGTAAAATGATGAGAATCACATTGAATTCAAATGGTTCTTGTTGGTTATGTAACATATTTTAAATATATACTTGCGTTTAAAGTATTTTCTTTTCATTTTTAAAAAGTTTTACTTTTTGAGTTTGCAAGTTGAAAGGTAAGAAATGGGATGGGCCAGACACAGTGGCTTGCGCCTGTAATCACAGCACTCTGGGGGGCTGAGGCAAGAGGATTGCTTGAGGTCAGGAGACCAGCCTGAGCAACATAGCAAGACCCTATCTCTACAAAAGAAAGATAACAAAAATTAGCTGGGGGTAGTGGTGCACACCTATAGACTCAGCTACTTGTGAGGCTGAGGTGCGAGGATTGCTTAAGCTCAGGAGGTTGAGGGTACAGTGAGCTGTGACCACACCACTGCACTCCAGCCTGGGCCACAGAGCAAAATTCTTTCTCTTAAAAAAAAAAAAATAATAATAATATATATATATAAAATGGAATTTTATATCTGCTGCTCTGGCCACTAAAGTATCATATGATATAATCATGATGCTTTAATGGTCTTGGCCAAAGGTTTTTAAGGTTGGTAAGAAGCTGTGTGGGCAAACCCACACTCCCGGGTTTGCCATAACGTGCCATAGCGTGCTAGGCTCACATGCCTTCTCTGCTTCTCACCAGCCTGCAGTGTGGTTCTCCAGCTGGTTCATGAAGAGTAGAGCAATTATGGGGAAACTGGCTCCTGGTGGAACATGCTGAAATCTTTTTTTTTTTTAATTTTTCTTTTTTTATTGCATTTTAGGTTTTGGGGTACATGTGAAGAACATGCAAGATTGTTGCATAGGTACACACGTGGCAGTGTGATTTGCTGCCTTCCTCCCCATCACCTATATCTGGCATTTCTCCCCATGCTATCTCTCCTCCTCAACTCCCCACCCACCGCTGTCCCTCCCCTATTTCCCCCCAGCAGACCCCAATGTGTAGCGCTCCCCTCCCTCATGCTGAAATCTAAAAGTAGCTGTAACAAACCCTATTATTTGCATTTTTTTCCAAATCTGATACTAGTTCTTGGCAGCTTTTAGCTTGTTCTGGGCTAGGCTGTCAAGTGTGGTTATTTTAGGCCAGGCATGGTGACTCATGCCTGTAATCCCAGCACTGTGGAAGACTGAGGCGGGTGGATCATGAGGTCAGGAGTTCGCGACAAGCCTGCCAAGATGGTGAAAACCTGTCTCTACTAAAAATACAAAAATTAGCTGGGCACAGTGGCAGATGCCTGTAATCCCAGCTACTCGGGAGGCTGAGTCAGGAGAATTGCTTGAGCCCAGGAGGTGGAGGTTGCAGTGAGCCAAGATCACACCACTGCACTCTAGCCTGGGCAACAGAGCAAGACTCCATCTCAAAAAAAAAAAAAAAAAAAAAAACAGTGTGGTGATTTAAGATTATTTAATACTTCTATTGTTCTCTTCTTTTTGGTCTACAACGGAGAATGGCTTCTTACCGGGAAAGCTCTGGTTGAGCATTTGTTTACTTTATTTTCTGTGGATAAGAGCATAAGAAGCAGTTTGGCTTCTTACCTGTGTTAATCTGAGCATTTCCTCAGTTGTGGACGGTGAAGCTCTTTCCTCGGTTCTGCTGAGGACCGCGCTGATGTAACTACTCTCCCTTGGGGCCTCATAGGTCTGTGGAGTCTTAATTAGGTACATACAGGGAGGAAGGCTTCTACAAAGTACTAGATGGGAAAATATCACCGGATATGTGCGCCCCCACTTTCCCCTCTTCCTTTTAGCAAAGCTCTCAGTTTTCCCCAGAAATTGTCCACATCCAGACACAAGACTGGAGTTTCTGCCAAAAATCCCTGAATGACTTGGCAGGATATTTTCAATGGGCTGATTTCCTCTGCTTTGAATGGAGGATGAGCACACAGGGTTCCAGACCAATACCTGGGCCATTGTGACTCTCAGAATGCCAGGCAATAAGAGGTCAGAGAGTCCATTCCAGGTCAGAGGAAAGCTTGCCGGGAGAACAATTGCAAGTCTTTCTTCTCCTCATGTTCTCAGTTTGTTCATCTCTGTGACACCACCCGCCATCATGAGAACAGCCACCAGCAGCGACAGCGTGATAAAATTTTCACTCCTTGACAAGTGTGAGAAGCCCAAAAACTATGCCCAGCCAGAAGTTTTGTGTCACACCTTCGAGGCACTGTCTAACCTCCACAAGCTGCTTCCTAATCACCTGATGGAGACGCTTTATTCCTACAAGAGTGAAGAGGACAAGAAAAAATGTATGTGGGTAGAGGGTGGGTGTGAGTTCTTTTCAGTAAGCACACACTTTATCTTGATACTATCTGCCTCTGCTTTTAGCCACAATTATGAACTTACTCTTTATTTTATTTAGTTTATTATTTTTTTGATACAGGGGGTCTCACGTTATTCCCCAGGCTGGAGTGCAGGGTTGCAATTGAGGAAGGAGACTCTTTCTCTTAAGCTTCTAAGACCACTTCTCTTAGCCTTGCATTTCAAAAGAAGTAAAAGTTGAAAATAGAAGGCACAAGGTCAGTGGAGGAGACAAAACCGGTGCCACTAGCTGGACAGGAGGTTAAAGATCAACTGCCACCCCCCTCCCCCCACCCTCCCCAGTTTCTATCTTATGTATAGATCACAGGCATGGTGTGGAGGAATCTTCCCCGGAAGGCATTGTTCTTGCTTAATCAGGATTAGACACCCACCTAAGTCACACAACCCTAGCTTACCTCATCCGTCACGACCTTCTCACATGTACCCTCTAAGACTGTGAGCCTTTAAAAGAGGCCAGGAGTTTCTAGTCGGAGATCTCAGTTCTTGAGACACGAGTTTGCTGAGACTCCCCCGCCAAATAAAAAGCCACTTCCCTCGCAGGTTTGTTTGCAGCCGCTCCTGCTTTACAATAATCGTGGCTCACCACAGGTTTAAACTCCTGGGCTCATGTGATCCTCCCACCTCGACCTCCCCAGTAGCTGGGACTATAAGCGAATTGCCACTGCAATGTCTAATTTTTTGTAAAGACGGCCTCCCCTCAACATATCTCCATGGTGCCCAGGCTGGTCTCAAACTGCCAAGCTCAAGTGATCCACATGCCTTTGCCTCCAAAATGCCTGGATTCGAGGTGGGAGTCCTTGCACCCAGCCAGAACTTGTTCTTTACCTGCAGGTGTGATTTGTCCTCCAGGCACGTGTCCCCATCCATGGACTTCCGTATTCTGGAACTTACTCATGTGCTGACTAACCACTGCTTCTTCATGTTCCTTTTGCAGTAATAGTCTTTTGTGAGCCAAGTTAGGCCTAACCCTCCTCTTTAGACAAAGTTTACCTGTGGGACAATGGAAAGGGTACTGAGAGGGAAATGGTGCTACATTTATAATTTAAGTTTTGGATTTGATTTTAAGATTAGGGAGAGAACTTTCAAGTGGAAAGTCAGGTTTTGAACTTTGTTCCTTTGCTCTGTTTCCTGCTATTCCTTCCTCCTGTGGCCATGATTACACCAGGAAGAAGCTGGATATTTTCTTTCCTCCTGGGGATTATAAGCAAACTGTACTTTTTGCAGTTTGGAGTGGCCTGCCACTCCTGAAATTCTGTCAGGGTCATTGATAAGGGGGGTGATTTGCAGAATTGGGTGGAGTCTGCTTCCTGAATTGTTCCTGCTTAAGTGGAGGACAAAGGTAGTGGCAGCCACCTGTGTTCATGAACTTCAAAAACAAAATAGCAGCTGCCATAGAGATTAAGTTGCAATTCCGAGGCTGGGCGAGGTGGCTCCTGCTTGTAATCCCAGCACTTTGGGAGGCCAAGGCGGGCAGATCACCTGAGGTCAGGAGTTCAAGACCAGCCTGGCCAAGCTGGTGAAACCCCGTCTCTACAAAAATACAAAAATTAGCAGAGCATGACGGCAGGTGCCTGAAATGCCAGCTACTCTGGAGGTTGAGGAGGGAGAATCGCTTGAACCCAAAAGGCAGAAGCAGTGAGCCGATATCGCGCCACTGCACTCCAGCCTGGACACAGAGCAAGACTCCTTCTCAAAAAAAAAAAAAAAAAAATACACAGTTTCAGGATGAAAGATAGGTACTGGTGTAGTGATTTTAAACCATGATGGCATATTTGGCAATCTGTATTCTGAGGAATCCCTACCCACTGAATCCAGAGTATTGTGAATCAATCCTAATATCCAGACTACATTATAAACACTACATAAAATGCACTCATACATCATCAAGAAAAATATAAGTAACCTTATAGAATAAATGGACAGGCAATTCACAAGATTTAGCTACAGATCATCAGTAAGCATAAAAGATGTTCAAACCCTCTGGTCATCAAGGAAGTAAAAGACACATCAAGCAGATATTTTTAGGCCGGGTGCTGTGGCTGAGGCCTGTAATCCCAGGATGCTGAGGCGGGCAGATCCTGACGCCAGCCTGGCCTACGTCTCTACTAAAGATACTAAAACATTAGCTGGGTGTGGTGGCGCACACCTAATCCCAGCTACTCAGGTGGCTGAGGCAGGAGAATTGCTTGACCTGGGATCACACCAAGATCGTGCCATTGCACTCCAACCTGGGAGACAGGGTAAGATTTTGTCTCAGAATAAATAAATAAATAAATAAAAAGTAGGTATTTTTAGACCATGATATCAGTCAAACTTAGAAAGATTTGATATGAATATGAACATGTGGAAAAGTTAGCACTTTCTCACACTATTAAAGGCATCCTAATGGATTCAGCCTTTTTTTTGGGGGACGGAGTCTCACTCTGTCGCCAGGCTGGAGTGCAATGGTGTGATCTCAGCTCATTGCAACCTCCAACTCCCACGTTCAAGTGATTCTTCTACCTCAACCTCCAGAGTAGCTGGGATTACAGGTGCCTGCCACCACGCCCAGCTAATTTTGTATTTTTAGTAGAAACGGGGTTTCTCGATGTTGGTCAGGCTAGTCTCAAACCCTCAACCTCAGGCGATCCTCCCACCTGGGCCTCCCAAAGTGCTGGGATTACAGGAGTGAGCCATCACGCCTGGCCTGATATAGGCTTTTTGAAGGAAAACTTGGAAGTCTTTGTCAAAATTCCAAACATATTTTAAGGGCTTATTGAGGCTGAACTTGGTAGAGAGTAAGCAGAAGATAATTTTCTTTTTTTCTCACAGCTCTCCCTTCTGACCCATTCTGTTGACGCTTTCCTCACCTTGGGTGAAATTATAGGTAGATCTCATAGCTTTCCTGGCCGTATTCAGAAAATAAAAAGTCCACCCTAATCCAAACCTTAAACTCTCATCTACTTTAAAATCTCTCTGCTCCCCACTGCTCTGGCCTTATTTAGATTCAGAAACCAGGTGAGTTTCTTTTCTCTGACCTTGCTCCAACCCCTCCCTCACGGGGTAGGGGTGAGAGCGGAGGGCATTGGGGTGAGGAGCTGTGGAGTTTTTTCAGATGGTAAAATCTCAGGTTGTGACCTGGCATTTGTGCCCTCTGGGAGTGGCAGCTATCAAAAGCGGACTGTCTCCTGGGGGCGTTTGTGTGGGTTCTTTGGCAATTTCCCAGGCTGACAGTTTTCACAGCCTCCTGCTGACATTTCTACTCTCCATCCTGCCAGGTGTCTTAGTCTATTTGGGCCTCTATAACAAAATACCATAGACTGGAGCCGGGGGCAGTGGCTCACGCCTATAATCCAGGCACTTTGGGAGGCAGAGGCGGGCGGATCACCTGAGATCAGAAGTTCAAGACCAGCCTGGCCAACATGGTGGAACCCCGTCTCTACTAAAAATACAAAAATTAGCCAGGCTGGTGGCAGGTACCTGTGATCCCCAATACTCGGGAGGCTGAGGCAGGAGAATCAATTGAACCTTGGAGGTGGAGGCTGCAGTGAGCCGAGATTGTGCCATTGCACTCCAGCCTGGGCAATAAGAGTGAGACTACATCTCAAAACACAACAGCAACAATAACAACAATACATACTGTAGACTGGGTAGCATATAAGCAGAAAAACTTATTTCTAAGAGTTCTGGAGGCTGGGAAGTCTAACATCAAGGCAGATACCATGTCTGGAGAAAACTTTCTGGCTCATAGATGGCACCTTCTGCTGCATCCTTACATGGGGGAAGGGGCAGGGGTCTCTCTTAGCCCTAGTTTATAAGGCACCGCCCCTATGGCCTGATCCCCTCCCAAAGGCCTGCCCAGTGTGTAATACCATCACCTTGAGGGTTAGGATTTAACATATGAATTTTGAGGGGCGCAAAGATTCAGACCATAGCACCACCTTCGCCAGCTCTTGTGTGGTTTACTTCCATCCCGTTTCAACTGAGATTGCATCATCCTTTGACAGAAACACTCTTGAGATCCTCCTATTCAAGCAGGCCCCAAACTACTATAGCTGACACTTGAACAACTCATTGGAACTGTGCAGGTCCACTTACAGGTGGATTTTTTTCAATAAATATATTGGAATTTTTTTTTGAAGATTTGCCACAATTTGAAAAAATTTGCAGGCCAATTATATAGCCTAGAAATAACAAAAAGTTAAGAAAAAGTTAGGCAGCTGGGTGTGGTGGCTCATGCCTGTAATTCCAGCATTTTGGGAGGCTGGAATTTTGGGTGGATCGTTTGAAGTCAGGAATTTGAGACCAGCCTGAGCAACATGGTGAAATCCCTTCTCTACTAAAAGTACAAAAATTAGCTGGGTGTGGTGGCATGTGCCTGTAATCCCAGCTACTTGGGAGGCTGAGTTAGGAGAATCCCTTGAACCTGGGAGGTGGAGGTTGCAGTGAGCTGAGATTGCGCCGCTGCACTCCAGGCTGGACAACAGAGTGAGACTTAAAAAATAAAAAAGAAAAAGAGATGTCATGAATGCATAGAATATATGTAGATATTAGTTTGTTTTATCATTTATTACTATAAGATGTATACACACCTATTAGGAAAAGTTAAAATTTATAAAAACTTACACATGCAAACACTTACAGACTGTACTTGGTGCCTTTCACAGTCAAGATAAATGTAAACAAGAGTAAAGATGCAGTATTAGGCTGGGATCAGTGGCTCCTGCCTGCAATCTCAGCACTTTGGGAGTCCCAGGTGGTGAATCATCTGAGGTCAGGAGTTCAAGACCAGCCTGGCCAACATAGAGAAACCACATCTCTACTAAAAATACAAAAATTAGCTGGGCACGGTGGTGCATTCCTGTAATCCCAGCTACTCAGGAGGCTGAGGCAGGAGAATCACTTGAACCCAGAAGGCGGAGGTTGCAGTGAGCTGAGACCATGCCAT